TAAAATGGTATTTAAAATTTAAATCCCCTGCTGGGCCATCGGGACTGACGCCATACGGCGTCAGTAGCAGTCAAAAGGTTAAACAAGTGGTGGATCCCGAGAGGGGGGGGGGGAGAGGGTGGGGGGGGGGGTTGGAAAGAGGGAACTAATTTCTTTCTTAGGGGTAATTTCTTTTTTTATTGCATCGTTGTCAATCGACGGTGTTCAGTCTGCTGGCTGGAATTCGCTTTCTCGGATTCTCTATGGGAAATACAATCGGCTCGAAGATTCTTGAAGGGTATGAATAGTGTTCTAGAATTATAGGGTTCTTCCATTTAAGAGTGAACATTTAAGAGTGAACCCTGGCGAGGCCGAGACGGAAGCTTCACCTTTCACGATCCCACGATATTTATTAGGCTTTCAGATTCGTGCAGCTAAGAGTGTAGAAACCTAAACATCCAGTTCCCTGGGATTTTGGGATTTACTTTAGGCGTTTCATGGGCGTTGCCCGACCGAATGACTACTGACATTAATGTATATCCGGGACGATGTTCTGTTGGCTACAAACCAAACTTTGAGTCGAGTCGACATCAATTCAAGTTTGACTGGAGGGAGAAGAGGAGGGAGATGGGAACGTTTAATATCTTTTGAATGTTTTGGCTCTATGTTCCTATGAACAGTTTATGAGTATGTGCCTATCTCCACTTAACCCTCCCTTCCTCTCTGGATTTTTTTCTGACTGCATATTACGGTTTTAAATATACTCACCATGTGTAATACTCGTATAACTATACCTTAGCAGTGATATTCATTAGAGTTGCCAGAAAGACACTGGGGCCAACAAATGCCCATGAGAGAATCTCATTTTAAAGCTGAGAGGAAGCGAGGGTTAACCTCCACCTATCTTGTGGTTAACTGCTTCTTTAATTCCCCGCTAGAGTTACCATGAATCGGTAAGCCACGCGTTAATGGGGTGGAGGTGGGGAAACGGGAGACACGAAGAAGCCCCTTTCCGTATTCTCAACTCGATTCCCATTCCCATGTGTAAATGCCTATCAGTGCGATCGAGCAAATATTATTCGAATTATCGTCGAGCATCGAAAGCGGAAAGAGAGAGCGAGACGCACGCATGCACCCCCGTCCCCGTCCCCGTCCCCCGCCCATCTGACCCGACGGACTGAATGGTCTCCTTGGAGGCCCACTGAGAAGGATGTTCCCCGGATGTCCCTCCGTCTTCCGGTGCGGATATCGGGAAATGTCCAGGCAGATGCCGGTCGAGTTCGCTTCCGGTCGGAATGGGCTGCTGATAACGATGAGGAAGTAGGTTGCATGTCGTGCTTAAGCGGGCATCGAGTACTTTCGGGACTCCTGACCTTGCTGATAGTGACTCGAGAGTGACCCGAACGATGACACAAAGCACTTAATGCGTGACGCAATCGTGACTCATGCGTGCCACGATGCCGGTCGCAGTTGCACGAGTCTATGAGACAGCGTCGGTGAACAGAAACAACGTCGTACGGTGAAGAGGACTGCTTCATATTCTTCCGCATTCGCGTTTTTAATGTCTCACAGCATGAGGGAATGCAAGGAATTTAGCTGGAGGGAGGTTCGAATAGGAGATAATAAAATAAGTGTTGCTTTGCCATGCGATTTTTCCCCTGTGGAATTCCAACAAGAGCGCGTGGCTCTCAAGCTCCATCGACAGAGACGAGCACTTCATTTCATCCCGCAATCATGGTTTCTGCTCACGCTCGATTTATTTATATTGATTATATTGAATATATACCGAGTGGACAAAAAAAGCTGTAATTTTTGTTGAGTCGTCAATCTCCTGCCGATTCTGATTAAATTTTGTAGGCTTATAGGGTGACACATCTGAGTTTTTATACTGGATTTCAGCCTTCTGGCTCTAAAATTATAGGAGCTGTTATTATTTTCTGATGATCCACGTGTGCAGTCGAAAATATCGATATGAACCTGAGGCCGGGAAGAATGAGAGGACCAAATTCATGGTCTTCCATCCCTGCATGATGCTGTAGAGCAGTGATGAGCAACCCGCGGGGCTTTGCCAGCTGAATTTTTTATTTTTTTCCTGGCATCTGCCATCCGGAGTAGAGCGCACGTGCGCTCAAGGATTCCGTTTCCCACTGCAGGAGACACGGAAGCAAGGAATAAAACAGAAGCTGTTTCCGCCACAGCAGCAAATATCCCCTCACTCCCTTCTTGGTCGGTAATCACTGCTCTCTGAGCAAGCGGCTTGCTTGGTATTTTGCTCAGTAAAAAGGTGAGAGAAATTCAAAATATGTCATTTGCATATCATTAGCATCTACCTGTTTACCTGGTTTACTAAGCCAGGCTTAGGGCTATTTTGGTATTCATAAAGCCCGTAATTCAGTATTTAAAAAATACATGCGTCCCACCGGGAGCCTAAAAGGTTCACTTGCTGCCCGCAGCAAAAAAAAAGAAAAAAAGTTGCTCATCACTGCTGTAGAGGAAGATTGGGAAGCATTGCCTCAAAGATTTATTGACCGAGCCATTGATCTGTGGCGTCCCAGACTGGAGGCTTGTGTTCAACAGAATTGAGGGCACATTCAGCACCTTCTCAGTTGAAATGAACGTCCCTAAACCAAATTGCGCGCTTTCGTTTTTGGCATTTTTGGATTTCGTTTTTGTTCCTTTTTTTTTGCTTTTTTGTTTTTGTAAGTTGTGAGAAATGTTAAGTTTAAAGAAAAAATGAACAGTTATTTTTTGGGCGATGAAAAGTAAATTAAATGCCATTCTCACAGTTTTTGGAATTTTGATTTGAAACAAGGCACACAAACCCTAATTGAGTCACCCTATGTGCCTACCAAATTTCATCAGATTCGGCAGTCTACAATCAGATTGACAACTCACCAGAAATGATAGCTTTGTTTTTTTTTTTGGCTCACCCTATATACTGTATAAAAGACCGGTTCAGCTGTTGCAGAATCCAGTTTGCGACAATTTCTATTGCTTTCTCATTTTATGCATGGCATGTGCATGGCAAAGCTGAAATCTTGCTAAATCCTAAACGATGAGGACGTTTATTCGATTCCATCTACCTGGAAGAGACTGCTCCAAATTCCAATTTCTTTTCATGAATCAGTGTCGAACATCATAATTTTAACTTCGTCTGATGGATAGAACCAGTTTCTGGTTTACATCCTGACTAGCCAAAGCGAGGACGAGGAGGAATCCTCAGTCCGCACTTTCCCACTTTATGGAGTTTTCGCCATCCGTTCTTGAGAGGGCGGCAAGGGATGTAGAATGACGTCATTGATGACACCACCAGCAGTGAAACGCGGGAGGAAGGCGACTAGGACGCGGAGAGGCTCTTCAAGCTGTTCTCCTAGCAACGTGATCGCGACGCAAAGACCCACCAATCAGGAACGACTCGATGGTCTGGGGAGCTTCGCTGCAACGCTGTGCGATTCGTCTGAGTCAGTCCTCGTTCGGACGGCGGATGACTCAGGTGCTTCGCCGAAACCGGCGCCTTATCTGATTACACTCTGGAAGAGGCCTACCCGCCAGTCCGAGGGACGAGATAGCTTGCACCTTTTGCTGATGGATTTTGCGCTCTTTCTGAGATCTGAAGATGAGCTTCACGAATTTCTAGATAATACATAGTACCCTGTGATGGATGGCGCGTCTTCTATATCTCTCCATAGATACGAAAAATAATGGGGTGTCTTCCTCACTGTTGCCAAAGTTCGACTGGAAGCATTGGAATCCCTCTTGCATACCGATTGCAACAGCTAATATCTGGTAGAAAATGCATAAAAATTGGATGTCTAGAATTGAAAATTTACTAGATTGCACCATAGCTTTGTATGACTGAGTCAAAGATGTCCTCAAATTGGTTGTTGTTTGCGCATAGTCTACATAAAGATCTGTAGAAGTTGCTCGCCCCCCGTTCCAGATCTGAAACGCGTAGCCAAAATGCCATTCGAAAATCTGGAACTCGAACGCCTTGTAATTCGTTCACGTCGCCGTCTTTAAAAACGCGAAACCAAAACTTTTTTTTATTGTCCCGCCGACTTGCAAGTCTTTACATTCTGGTTTCACTCCAGTGTTTGCTGGTTGAATTAACACGGCAGGTCATCAGTTGACAAGGTCTGCTTAGCCGATTGGAGCTTTAAGGTATTCGAGTAACTCCACGGTGCAGGAAAAATGTATTGTATTAATATTATACAAAGGAATATTTTTCGAATCCCTATGGCACTTGGTGCTTTGTAAGTCTTTCTTACGGATCTAGATTCTAGATAGTCTCGCGGAATCGCGTGAAAGTGAAACTAAAATGGAAATGTGCAATCTGCTTTATCGAACGGGGTTGGCTCCCTCGGAGTCTATTATCTGCTTCTGAACGATTCCATCGATTCGTCTCCCGAGGGAAGAAAGGATTATTCTAAGGACTAAGATAGATGATCCGCGAATCGAACTCCATTCCGTGCACGGCCCACGAGAACACAGAACACACACGAAACCCCGTTGATGAATGTCCTTTGGACATGACACGACGTGGGAGCCTGCTTTATACGGGGGACTATAGACGGATGCGATCTTCCTCCCTCCAGTAGCGATGGATAGACTCTTCCCGCTTTGAGACCCTGCTTCGACCCGACCCAGCCCCGTCCCCACTCGTTAAAAGTCGACCGAAATGGACGAGGCGGTGTTGGCGAGTGCCATAAGGAGGCTGGAAGCCCGACGGCGGATGAAACGGCTGATCGTCCTTCATGGACGCATCTTTTCCGTGAGTCGCTTCTGATTTTTTTGTCAGCTTGAGATGGGCTCGAGTTCGTCGATGACGGGATGTCTGCCATGACAGAGACGATAAAGCCGGTAGATATTCTTAGTGTTTCGTAGGAGAACGTAGTAAAATAACAGTATTAAAACTCCCTATAGTTTCTATAAACCCTATAGAGGAGAATTAACCAAGCTCTAAATGATCGAAATTGAAGGAATTCTGTCAAAGAAATTTTTTTTTTTCCGGTTGGAGGGGCTAATTGACGATTATGAATGGCAGCAGAGTCTGGTTGGGTGGCAAATAAAAGCAGCTCTGCTCCGATTACGATTTCGATGCCGAGCAGCCTGGCACTCAGAAAATTGTAGCTGGAATTTCATTTTTGATGGAGCAATCACGCATTGCATTCTTACAAAAACGACAAACGATTTCACCCAAATCGCCGAATATGCATGAAAGGTCTGGTTCGACAGGATGCAGTAAAAAGTGACTTGCACTTAAGAATTCACAAAACTAATAGAGATTTAGGAATCATCTCGCCGCGTTCTTCCTTCCGAAAGCAGGAAGAACACGAACATGAAAATCAAAGTTTAAAATTGCTTGATGCTCCTCATCCTTTCCCTCCTCATCGCTCCAAGGATAAAAGTTTTTGGTGGCGGCTGTCAACTTATTAACAGCTAAATTGCTTCCTTATTTTTATTTTATTTTATACACATCATTATCCTCTTTTAAAAATAAATTTAAAAAAAAGACACGGACTTCACCCACAACAATGGATTAAAAAAAAAATACTACGCGACTCAAGTCCACAACTGCAACCGGTTTGTCCTGCTCTCACGGAGGGCATTCAATAACTTTTGGTAAACTTTTATTTCCAACATATGAAAGCAATGAAGTTACATTCCTTCACATCACTTCCACAATACTCTCCCCCGACATACACCTGCATCAGTAGACGCTCAAGTTCTTACCCCAGACGAAAAATAAAAAAGGCGAAAGGACGAGGAATGGTGGTAGGCGGGGGTGGGGGGTAGGTAGGAACCGCCCCCTTATGAAAAATTTCTGTATCCGCCCCTGGTTGTGGCGTCAAATTCGCATCTGTCAAGTGTACCTTAGTCAAAGTACCGGAAGCATGGGTCGTTGAGTAGGATGTAACAATGCGTGGTTGTTCGGAGTACTTTGAAGAGATGCTCAGGAGTGGAGTTTATTAGTTTATTTGATAGGAAAGAAAAATTCAGGGAGGGGAGAAATAAAGTAGATAAGTTTATACAGATTTAATCCCTGGGTGCATTAAAACCTTCAGTCAAACTCGGTTATGAGGGACAATGGAAAAGTTCCAAGACTAATCGATAAAAAATTTACTTACTTCTTGACAGCCAAATAGATCCTATCATTTGGGCATAATTTCGATTCCTCTAAGAAACCACTCCCTGAGGGTATGCGGTTTATTTGTTGTTTTTCAGTCGGTTAACCGACTGAAAAACAACTAATGTCGCAAAAGACATGTTTTAAGAAACCCGAGTCTCGAGGCCCTTCCATTGGTTCTGATAACATGAAAAAGTAGCAGCAAGGACTTTAAAGGCCTTTTCAACTTCCTTCAACAAAATCTCAGAGTGCACTCTGCTTTGACCTTGAGTGCTCCATCAGTGTGCTTAAATGACCTTAACTAACAACAGCATTAAAATTTCAAATGACATACAACCAAACGATGGCACAAATTTCCATCACTACTGCAGCAACTACCTCAACCATAAAATTGTTTCTCTAAATGCTAAAGGAAAAAGTTCAGGAATTCTCCATAACCCCTTGTACCATGTTGACGGGCTGCTGTATACTTCGTATTAGTCATCCTATCATAGATTTCTTATATGAAAATCTTAAATCTGATCTAAATTTGAGATTATGACAGTTAATTTCTTTTATTTTAACACCAGATACATTTTTTATAGCTTTTACAAGGAATCCTCAAGGACAATCTGCTGAAAATTCTTCTTTGTCCATGGAATTTGCTGGCTTCTACCCGCATAAGAAAGATCAGCAAAGAGACCACCCTATCATTCCTAACAGGTCTTTCAGGATTTTACATCAAATCGATAGGATAGGATAGGATTTTGTTGTCATAGTTCACAACAAAAACAGGTGATTGACAAACAACTGGACATGTTTTGCAAAGCAGAGAAGTTTGACAAAAATAAAGAGTACATTTAAAAAAATGCCAGTGATTTCAAAGGTGGAAGAAAGGAATCAATTGCTTCAGCTGAATCCTTCTTTATTTCCCTTTTATGAAAATGGAAGGGACCATCAGCTAGTCAACTTATCCTTGACACTCACCCATGACCTAAGGAATTTCAGAGAGCAGTTTCACAGATCAGACCATAGTGTGTGTGCATCTGATGATATGCAAAAAAAGAGACAGGAGACAGGAGTAAGGATGTATTCACGTTTGCATATCATTCAGGACCCAGAACATAAGCCATCACATCAACATATCAATCTGTATCGGAATTCAACACAGTCAAATGACTTAAATCATCAGATTTCATCAACGATATCAACAGGCACTAACCCGGATATGCCTGATGCCCTATACTTGAGATGGCAAGCAGAGATGGGCATAAAAAATTCTCTAATGGTTCATGTGTCAGTGACAGACCAGAATTATATGGTCAGTCATTAACATGATTACACCAAGCACTTAATGCCTGGCATGATAATTCTGAGTAAAGTAACTGACCAGTGAACCATTAGAGAATTTTTTGTGTGCATTTCTGCATCTTGTACTACATATAGGATGCCAGGCATATCTGGGTTAAGAACATCCAAAGGCATACAGATTCAACTATTCAACATAATCTAATGCTGATCATTAATGAAGGTTTACATGTTAGCAGTGACACAGGCTGGGGTGGGGTTCAGGGGGCTCGAGTCTGACTGCCTTGATCCCTCAAACATCCTGATCTTCCAAGTTCTGGGTGTCTCCCTCTTGCCATTCAACTTCCTTAATACTAAGCTTCCTCTTAAAGCCTTGCATACACCACTACATGTCAGAAACTCATGAGAAATATCCTTCCATACAGGATTTTATTTCTGTGGAAATACTCATAAGAAATTGATTTCTTCCTTATTTTCCTACAAGGGGGGAAAAACACTAGGCGGCACTTTCCCAAAAGTAACATTCATGCAAGTACACTTACATGAATAAACATGACCTCAGGTTTATTTCATTTTTTTGCCTTAGGCAGAAAAATGGAATGGAAGAGGAAGCACAAAACTATATCAAGTAATCATAGCATCATGAAACAATGAGGACAGCCTCCAAATGAGAGAGCCTGTATCCTGGAAATATATTCAATGCAGACAAAAAATCACAGAGATAAGCAATAAAAAATGAAAGAACTGGATCTCTTGTATGCATTGGCATATCAGAATGGAGGGAGTGCTGCAAAAGTTATAATGAAGCAATTTGATTTTATTTCTGCTGGAATAATAGTTTTGTGTAACATTCAGAATGGTCATCATAAACATGGGTTGCTCCACTGAACTCAGTATGTCCTGAACATGACTAGCACTGGGTAAAAACAAACAGAGATCACAGTAATTGCTTGGTTTTTTTTAAAATACCATGTGTTTAACATTTGCAGGGTATGATAAGAATAATATCACGGGTAAAATGAGCTGACACAGGCTGTAGCCTATAATGGGCCTATACATTGGATGAGAATTTCTGATCTCCATAGCAAATGCAATACCTGAAACATTAATTTCTTTGGCATCACAAAAAATAAATAAGAGTGACAAATGGAACGGTAAAGCATTAATCTTTAGAAAGGATTATACAGCCAGTCACATTGAAGCTGAAAATTGCATGACAACAGGATGAAACCAGTGCTACTCATGCAAAAACAATGCACTGAAATGAAAGGCTCAAAATGCTATTATAAGCAGATTGTGAAGCTAGCACTTTTAAAAAGCTGGGGCAGCTTCACAAAATAAACCATTCATTCAATGGAAGAACTCAAACATACTCGGTCCCAAACAAAAACCTGAAACATTGTGAATGCCAAGAGTTTTTTCCTATAAGGAAACACTAATTCAGAGTAGGATTTTCACAAAAAGCAAGATACAAGTCATTTTGGAATGTTTCATTGAAGACCATGGGAAAACCTCTTAGATATGAGCTTTTACCATTAAAATTCGTTTTCCTTTGTAATGACCAGAAGATAATGTATCACTTCAGAATGGATAGTATTGGCACTCAGCAGCACTAATTAGTAACATTTGGCACAAATTCAGATGTTGAAGGTGGCCCAGCTCAGCTTCAGAATGATGAGTCATTTTTTTGGTGTCTGAGCATTTCAAGGCACACCATGAGCATGCAGCATTTAGACTAGGAAGGCCTTACGGTCAAGCGAAAAGAATAAGCTAAAAATCACTCTCAATGGCCATCACAGTATACTGCAGTGTGGCTTTGGTATGGACCTTTGATTATAACAACAGACAAAGCGGAACACAGGGGAATCAGGGGAGAGATCACCACAGCACTGGGATGTAGAGGCCTGAGGGAGAATGAGATCAAGATCGTCATCCAGTTCATCTGACAGGTGCAGGTTTTCCACACTAAATGTGTCTGTCAACAGAGCCTTGCTCATGGCTGACTTGCTCCCTTGCTTTGGCCTTGTCAATGGTGCAAAATCTATCTCATCTGAACTGCTGAAATTTCAGAGAAAAAAATTTATTCCCAGCATAGTCTCTCTTAGACAGTAATTTATGTTGCCCTGTCCCATCTTCTCTGCAGAATCACTTTCAACAATTCAAACCATATACTGTATACCATTCCCCTGTTAAGGATAAAGTATGTGAAAAAGGAAATTTTAAAATATCATCTGGTCACATGGACAAATGTTACTCTTACTGAGATATGCTTACTGTATTTCTGAAAGAAAAACCAAGAGGAAAGGCACATCATCAATCCACTCATGTGTTGCAGCAAGCAAAACAATGCCAAACATCACAAAAAAAAAGATTCTCTGATATTGGTCATTTTTTGGTAACTGAATGTTTAAGAAATGCTTTGGTACAATTTTCATACTCATCTGACTAAAACTGAGCAATTTTATTATTCCACAGTTGTTAACTTTACTCAAAGAAAAAAAAAGCATTCAATATTTTCAACTTATAGGTCTCAGAAAAGTTCCACACCAGCACACTTTCTTCTCAAGCACGTACAGGAAACTTTGGTGAGGAGGTATTTTGATCCAGCCAGACCAAAAGGGACTATGATTCCAAAATGTACTTCTTGGTGGGTATTTAGCAAAAATGGCCCTTCAGCAAATTTGTCTGTACTGAATTTTGGTATGGTTTCACTGGCCACAGCACAAATAATATCCAGCCCTCAATAACACCATAGCAGTGATGCACAACCTTTACCCCATAAAGGGGCATATTGAAATTTTGGCTCATGTTTGAACATGAGCCAAAATAGGCCACATATAAATATGGATTTTTAGAGACCAGAGGCATCTAAGGGGCTGCAAAAAAAGGTCTCCATAGGCTGTGGGTTGTGCATCACTGCACAATAGAAACTATGAACCTGAGTTGCGGATGAAATGTTTTATGCACTGCAATATTATAATTTCCCAATTGTTGTGATTAGTTATACTATCAAGGCTTGAAGACATCCCCACTTTTTTTCATGCAACAAAGTAACTGTGGCACAAGAGTGCTTTGTTATTACTTTGCTCTCAATAGGAAGAAAATAATTTTTTCTTAGGGACAAGATGTTAACCCCCTGGAATATCTGAGGGACCTTTGTTCACATTCTGCATCTTTAATACGTCAAACAACTCGCATTTAGTTTGGGTAGTTTTGTGGTAACTTTAATTATTAGTAATTAACACTATTTTGTGATCAGTATTGTCATGTTTTCTCCATTTTGAAAACAAAAATATCAGAAGTGAACCAAGGAAATCTGATCTAAATTATGGTGTTACTATGTCAATCATAGTAAGATCCCTGATACACTCTAGTAGATGATGAGCTTGAGATACCTGTCTGAATCCCAGGAGACGAGGGGCTGTCGTTCTTTGAAAAATGGCTGGGCCTGTCCTTTGGTGGGATACGATACTCGATCGTAAGATATCAAAGGTGGACCAACCCGACTCTTCTCACTAGCTTGTTGCTTTGCTGCTTCTATCTTCCTTTCTGAAAACAAAAAATATTCTATTATTCAATTTACTCATGGAGACCATCATACTCCAAGTCCATTAGGAGAAAATAAGGCAAAAAAAAAAGCACCCAACTATCCACAGCTAAGAAAAATCCACCAAGTCATGTAAGGGCCATTGAAGGTCAACTTGGCTAATTTCTTAAATTTTGCAGATGTCACTCAAAAATGGAAAAAAATATTCATGTATACGTTGAGTTGAAAAAAAACAAACCACCAGCAACTCCTACACATGTGGCTCCAGTCCTTGCCAGATTCTATGACCTTTACTGTCTTTGATCTCAGGCTATCCCAATCAAGCTGTTAAAAGACTTACTTCCACCAATGTTTTAGTCATGTTCTCCTGATCACTACCAATCCAAAAAAAAAAGAATATTAATTGTAATCAGAGTTGGAAAAATGCTAATGAGACAAAAAATTGGAAACTCTGCAGGTGTGTATAGATGAGGGATAGCTTTAGTGTTTCCACAAGTTTTTCTGAGAAAATATGCAGTTCTTTAAGAGTTTCAAAACCATTATTAAATGTTAAAAGTTTTGGAAAGACACAGTGAAGAACAAAATTTTTTCCATCAAATAAAGAAAACAAGGGAAAACCTGATTGTGAGGTTAGGGTACAGCCTACGGTATACAGCAGACCAAAAAAAAAATAAGCATGTCCACTGGGAGATTCTTCCTCTCCAACCCTCTCCATCATTGAGAACTTACATAAAACTCCATCTTATCATGGATCCCTCACCTATTACTTAAAAAAAAAAAAGTTTCCCATCTGACCAGGATGGATGAGGTCTAGATTTGAATATTCCAAGGACATCTGAATCTTAAACATGTCAAAATTTGAATTTGAAGGCCCAAAGCCACCAAAACTATCATTTGAAAAACAGCATTCATAAACCAAAATATTGATAAGTTGCTTTAAATCACTTGATTTAACTCAGCCAACCCTGTGGCAAACTATTCAACAATAGGCCTATTTTGCATTGGTTAGACTTATTTGAAGGAAGAATCTCACCAAGCTTTCTTTGAAGGCTTTCTGCACCCTTAGGAACTGAGACTGTGGGTGGCGTGACTCTCCCGTCACTAACACTGTCTCGACTGCTTGTCATGCTTGACAATCCGACATGCACCTCAGATTCCTGTTTATGAAAGAATAACATTGAACAACGTTGTGACACACCTCATGCATGCCAGGCTATGGCTCCAGGCCTATGGTGAGAGGAGAGAGCAGTAGGGCATTCGAAACACTCGTCGTTTAACCTCAAATGAAGCCAGGACATAGACTCTTACGTTAGACCTACCATTATGCAACATAAGCTTGACGACAATTGCTAGTTATGGGCCTCCAAAGACTGTGCCATAATCTCGATCAAATTTACTCACCACAGTAATGACAGCCGGCCCAGACTGATGCCGATTTTCTCCGCTATCAATCCCGCTGTCCTCCATGTCCATTCAGTCCTGTATTCGACGTTGATTGAAATGCGACAAGGGCGCAAAGCACACGAGCAGCCGACTGCAGGGAGAATACTAGGACGCAGCCATGTTCAATCCACTGCCACGAGATAGTTACCATAGCGACAGAAGCTGTCGTCATGGCAACGGAGAAGCGCCAGCACTGCCACTTGACCCTAGTGCGTGGACTCTGACCTAACGACATGAGTGAGGCGTTGAGTAGAAAAACGCTGTCCTTCTTCAAGGCCAGCTCCATCATCCCGCTCGGCCCCTCATGGTTACAGCACCGACCCCTCGTACGATCGCTTTTCTTTAATCCCCAATTGTTTTTCTCATGCATTTTCCTCCAGTCAGCAGCTGAGTGACTTTCATTTTGTTAATGTCGCGTTTCCACTCATCCGGGCTTTTAAAGGATTCTCGTTGCATGCATACATTCTTAGATGAGCCATGTATAATCCTTTTCATCACGGGCTCCGTGCCTCATCGATCTTGCTCGCCCTCATTTATCTCTTTCATCTTTCTTTTCCCTGGTGGGAGCTAATGAGACTCTCGCAATCCATTCCCGTAATATGCACAATATGGGTAAAGGAATCGCAATGAAGGGTAAACTCGTTAAAGTGTTCTAGCACCGTGAATTTGGATTGATCTCATGCATATTCAAATTCACTTTCATACTTTTTCAATGTGAGTTTGTATCTGAGTGCAAATTACAAGGTAAAATTCACTCGGTTTACCCAAAGATGTACGAATCAAGTCGAAAAAAAATACGATGTGATTTTAAATTGGAAAAAAAAGACGAAGTCAATCGAAATTCATTGTCCCATCCTTTTATTAGTCCGTTGTAAGGAGGTGCATGAAACCCAGAAACGCTTCCGAACAGGGGAATTCGGATTCTGGATTCAACAGGAGTTGGATTAGAGACCTGCTTCTTTTCTAGACGGGGTACCCTGCAATAACGCTAGATGGCTCTGCCAGACGAGGAGGAAAGAATTCAATGATCTTGATGGAATCGCAAAATCACTATAGATAGATATCGTTTCCCCATAATTTTCTCCTTGCCCATTACTTTTCCACAGCTTTCACGAACAATTTCAGACCTTTTGCCGTTTCCCTTTTTATTTGGTCTGCGGTCGTCACGTGACAATTTACGTTTGGCACATTACGAGGCACATCCCACAGCCAATTCTGGAATGCAAAGGGTACGTGAATAAAATACACGTCCGCAACAACATTTACATATTTAGGCTATCGCACCAGTCTGATTCCTGTTTTTCTTTTGTGCTTTTGCTTGTCAAGTTCGGATCAGGTTCAACTACTTTTTTTTCTTTCTTTGTGGAAAGTGACACCCGTAGAAATAGACACTCGACGTCATCATCCGACGCGGGACTTTCTTCTTGCCCGTCACGTTCGAGCGTTCGTCTTATTTTTGCAGTTGCTGACGTCAGACTTTTATTACAGTGGGAGGAAATGGGATAAGTGCCACCACGTGTCGATAGCATCGTTCTGTGATTTCCCCTAAGAGGTCCATTGTCCCCAGTCTCTAAAGGCCAATAGGACCCGCCGACGAGAAACCGTCAAGGTCACAACCACAACAAGCAAAAACCACAAATATTATTTCCCTTTGTGTGGGTTAAATAGCAACCTTTACGATTCCGACGATGCGATATAGAATACGGTGTGCAATATTTATATTTTCGAGACCTTTATCTCTACTTACTTTTATTTATCACCTTTATTCACAACCGGGCTGGGTGCGACCTGACATCAAAGGTCAAGGTAGTCAGGACGGAGTGCCTTTCCCAGATTTTTCAGGCCAAGAAGCGAAAGATTTCCGAAAATCCATTTTGAATCTGCTCTGGGGGGACTTTGAATCCTAGAGGAGAGACGCTTTGCATTAGACGCAGAAGTTCACTTTAGCATGCCGCGGGCCAGACGTCTGCAAAAGCGGGATTAATTTTGGTCGCATTTTGTCGAGTTGGGATCGGAATCTTTGGGAAGGTGTCAAGCCACAAGGTTTGTAAAATTCACCGTTTATGATTAAATTCTGGGAGACGCCGTGATTACTGTGTGACTGACCCGAGGGTTCCCCTTTGTTTTATGTCCAAAATCAGTTTTGCTAGGAGAACATGTTGCGGGGCAGATTTTGCACGCCGACCGAGCTCTGCAAATCTGCGGCCTTTTCAGAAACACCATTTGAGCGTTCATTTGCCCGACTTTGGTACTGAATTTGCATCCGCATGATGCATATATTTGAATATTTATTCTCATAATGATCATTATGTGGCTTCTCTGCTCCTTCTCATCTCAGAACTATCCACGTGATTTCATTGAAAGTTTACGAGAATCCGGCAAATGAGTGGATTTCTTACAATAACGCACGATGCGAGTGAATCATGGATTGCAAATGAAAGTTGGGAAGAAAAGGGCCGATTGCCTTATCGCGGATCCGAATCCGAAAAAGACTCCGAATTGCTTCCGCTGATGGCAGAGAGAAATACGCTGACTTGAGTTTGATTGAGCTGTTTTGGCCGAAATCAACGTTTCTTTCGGAAATGAAGATGAACGCCGTCCGGTGATTGATGATGCATTCTCGTGCGGAACCGCTGTCGAAGCCCCCACTTACGTTTTTTTTCGTTCTTTGGCCGGGTTAAAAAAAGAAAACGCAAGAAAAAAAGGGTCATTTGCAACCTGATGCTTTCAATGGAACAATACCGGCTTAAATGTATGCTTCTTTCCGTGAATTGACCCTTATTCTTGTGAGCATCCATCCACCTGAGAGAGAAATGGGCGTGAATTTCCGCTCGGTCATGAATCACGGCAAATATTCAAAACCAAAGGAGTTGAATGGACGAAGAAGTAAGACCTTGAGGAACGATCGATTCGAAGCATCACAATGTGCCAAGGCCCGCTAAGTCCATTTCCGTCCACGAATACGGACGGCTGAATCCAATGGAGGACAAAGGGTGATATGGAGGACAAAAGCAGGAGGTCGATGCGAAAGGAAGACTAATCGTATGCCAGGAACATTAGGGAGCCTCCATGTTCGCGTCCCACGTGACTATATAAAAAGGGGGGATGTCTTCGGTGGCTTCTTCAGTCCGCGGGGGGAGGATGGACTGGGAGGACCTCTTCCTCGACGACGAGGACTACTCCTCCCAAGTTACGGATTCGAATGCGCCCAAGGCCTCTCGAATCTTGTGTTGTCTGCTGCATGACGTGGACCCCTGGAACGATCTCCAGTGCGAAACTCCAGAGCCTCCGCCCGTTCACACCGATGAAGAAGGGGACCGTGATTCTGATCAGCATGAGAATAATTTGGGGTGTGAACCCGAGAATCAAGCCGACGAAGTTCCGAATGAAACTCAAGAGGTATTTGAAATATCTCATTCCGAAAAAAAGCTGAGCGCTCCACCGAAATTCTTCCGTGAATGTAGCCCGTTTTTCCTACGTTCATTTTTCGGAGTTCCAGGCTGCGATCACGGCGAATCCCTTTGTAATTGGGATATTGTTTTTCTTCTTTCATTCAGCACACAATACAAGAGGATTCTTGCAGGAGTCTTGACAAGGCGATCAAAGACGGAAGAGACAGTTGCTGCTACGCGACCGCTCTGTTTTTTATTTATTTAAATTGGAGTAGCGTATTTAAATGAGCGTTTAAGAAGCACGGCATAGGTGCATACAGATTGTGACACCGTGTCTTCGTCTCGTACGTGTCCATTGAATCGTGCAAACGGACGCGATCCCACCCCTAGAATCTCATGAAGTCTTTGTGGGGCACGTCTGGATTCGCGACAAGTGAAAACAATGCGGAGATTACTTAATAACGAAAAAATACATATATACTTTTTTTCAGAGAGTGGTTCATAGGCGAGATGGAGGAACAAAGAGGAGCGAGGACAGCAAGGATGAAGAATCCCGAGCCAAACCGGGCGGCGTCAACTTCTCCCTTCAGGCAAGTCTTCCTCCCTCTTCGCCAGTTGACCCCTTAAGTGGGTATGACGTACATATCCGTTATGGTGAAACGCTCCCCAGATGGGTTTGGCTTTTTTTTTCGTCACGCTATATCTCGAGTTTGAGTTAAGTATGAATTCGAAACTCGAAATAGTAGTACAGATTCGAAAAAGGGTTGTACATTTCTCACACAATCACTAAGTATTACTGTCACAAAAAAGTTCTGACTCCAATGGAAAACTTCTGTCTGAGAAATTCTCCTCGTAATGGGTTAAAGAAACTCGAAACGAAACAAAATCCAAGCTTTCCCTCTCAGGAAGGGGGCATGGGTCCGACTGGGCACGGAACCAGTTCCAGGCTCACCCAGAGGGACCCCCAGGCATCAGACAACATCGTCGCGTTCAGTTGGGGACACCTGGAGTTCGTCCGGCTCGTCTCGATCTCCCACACCATCGTGCTCTTCGAACAGGAGAGTCGGCTCATTCTCAAAGAGTCCCCCGAGGGAATTGCGCAGCTCGAGCTCCAAGGCAGCACCCGACGAGGTCAGAAAATAATGAGCCGTGAATGTGAAATGAGAACATCGAAATGCGAAAAAAATCACCGTCTGAATAGCTAAAAATAAAAAAGGGTTGCACGTTTTTTTTTTAGCAGTAATGCCAAAAAGTCTGTACAATGGGGTGACCAGATCGTCCCGGTAAAACCGGGACAGGCCGTTTTCTCTGGAACAGCCCCTGGTTTTGAGTTACTGCCCTGCTGAGAAAATTATCCAGCGATTTTTCCTTTCAGTGCCACTCATTTGTAGCAAGCAGCTCATCGGCCTATTGTCAACCGTAAACGAAGGGAAAATGTCTCGGATTTTCCTTTTAAAAAAATATGGTCATCCTACTGTACAATCCCTTTTTTTTTGATTCCACGTTTTGTACGAGGGAGGTGACGACGACTATTCGAGGTGTGAAATAGTGGGGTCTTAGAGTTTGATTATATTTTACTGTCGCAATCCATTTGGGTTCCTAATGATGTTCCTGCAATATCCCATTTGTATCTTCACATGTTCTAGAAATAACCTTCACCCTTTGAGGTCCTGTCTCCGCACGTGTGGACAAACTTCCATGAATTTTCAGCAGTTGTCTGTAGCATTGTCACAGCTTCAAAGCATGTCTTGTTAACAAATATTGTCTCAGGTTTACATGGAAATTTTTTCCACTAAATTTGAGCGAATTTTTCTCAAAGGCTACGAAAAGTTGCTCTGTGGAAATTGTATGGGCCAAATATGTGCAAGTAAGAGATTCGTATGAAAATGCTCACTAGTGAATGAAGCGGGAACAAAGTTTCAAAATGAAGATGAAAGACGGACGCAGGAATGACAAAGGTGTGTTCCATCGATCCGCGAATGTCTTCCCGATCCCTCTTATCTCTGTCGAGAAATAATCTTGGGAAACTGCCTGAGCGCGATAACACCTCGTTGCACCCCATGACTTGTTTTATTTCGATCCCCGGCAGAGGGGTTGGAAGAGGGAAGAAACGCGCCAGGGAGAAAGTCGGGGAAGCTTCAAATCTCGAGGGAATCGTGGGACGATAAAGACAAGGACGACGAGAAGGAAAAGGAGAGTGCCTCTGCCTCTGATCTCGAATCCGATCTCGATATGGATCGGACTCGAGCCAGGAGATCAGTCGGGAACATCGCCGATATCAGAATGACCAACAAATTCAACTTCTACGAAAGGGCCTCTCAAACCTATTCCTTCGTGAAGAGGGTAACTGAACATATTGAAATTTGACAAAAGCTTATTTTCGCATGCGTTCTGCCAGCTGCACCGCTTGGAGGACCGTCAATAGAATAATTATTAATTATACTTTTTTGAATAGAATAAAGGGACGGAGACGGAGCCGCCACCGATGATGAGGATGGGCGGACAGGTGAACCAATGGATCATCTACGACGCGTACCAGGAAGACCAGGAATCCTTGGCCGGGACCGGGGAAGCCCACGGGGAGAGGCCGAGGTCCTCCAGCCCTTACCCCGGCGGCCAGGAGAAAGCGAAGGACAAGGTCAAGGTGAAGGTGACGTCGACCCCCGGCCAGCCCCCCGACATCTCCGCTCTCCGTCACGCCTCCAAGATCATGGAGAGGATGGTCAATCAGAATCTCTACGATCCCATCACTCTCGGTATGCCAAACTCATGCTGGAAAAGCTTCTACCTTCACGTAAAGTACGTATTGGCCTCGAAAGGCCATCGGCTCGATGACCTGGTCATGCACGAAAAAAAGATCCAAGCAGAAAGATCTGGACCGGATCTGGCACTAGCCAGAGTACTCCTAGAAAATTCAGCTAATGCGAGAAAGTTATGTTTACGCTTCCAGCTCAGTTTAGCCTATTCCTAGTTTCCACCAAGCTTCCGCTTGATAAAGGTGGCAACAAGAGTCTGCAGTTGCAGAGATTTATTCGTGCTAAAGTGTGATACAATTTTCGAGGTCTCATGGGATTTATGCCGGAAATGTCGGACAACCAATACTTTGCGTAAGGAAGGCATAGGCTTGGTATCGATTGTTCTTCGTGCAGCTTTCTTCTGGTGCACTTTCGTTCCGTAGCATGTGATCAGCAACGAAAACCTCATTTGAGCTGCACTTCAACTCACGTGATCATCTAGATTTGAAAGGGTCAAAGGTTCTGTGTATGAAAAATAAGTGCGGTTCAACAGTGGGCCAAACGCAACACTTGAGCTTAGGCATGATTCACCATTCCCGCTCTGGTTTATCTGGAGTCTGAGAGATACCGCTCACTTTTGGGTCCACTTCACATATTATGCATTACATGTACTGCAGTATTCGGAATGACGGCCGTACACACCTCTCAAAAAAAATTCGTAAGCGCCAAATATTCAACGTTATATTCTGCAAGGTGACCCATATTTGTGAGTGCAAAGATTATTGATTGGTGAATGATGAGGATTGCAGAGCGCCTTGGAGACTAAAAAATGCGAATTTTAGACACAAGATCACTTACTTTTCATATCCAATGCATTTTGACAAGCACGTACGGGGAAGATCCAAAATATCTATCTAGAAAAGTTAATTTCGCATGATTGGCAGGTCCAGACCGGGGGGGGGAGAACTGGATACCAGAAACTATTGTCTTTAGCTAACCAAAGCAAAGCTACCCCTCCCCCCTCTCCTTTCGCCTATCTGCCTAGAGTCTGCCTGGTTTCAAACACCTAGAAAAGACTAGTTTTGTACCGCTCTCCAAACCACCAAATGTTAGCAATTTATTTATGGTAATAGCAATACTTTATTTGCCAGGGATCGAGAAGCAAAGTGAACAATAATTCTAACGTATAAAAAAAAGGAATACAGTAATAAAGACCCATGTCGTCAAGGCAAAAATTATACAAAAACTGTATCAAGGATGAAAGATATCTTATCGTCTTTTAAGGACGATGAGATGAGCTACTTCTGATCTCACATATAAGAAACAAAAAAAAATATTCCCCCGCCTGTCCACATTTTGTGACAAAGGAGACTGACATGAGGTTTATCTATACAGCCCTACCCCCCCCCCCCCCAGTGAAATTGATGAAAACTCAAACAGCCGACTGATTGAATTGCTTTTTGGAATCGCTCTCTTCCTTCCCATTTTGTGGGAAGGGGGCGGGGAGGTGTGAATTCAGTCGAAGAGTACTGTAACCAATAAACTACAGTATATGCATTTTCGTACATTGGGATCAGATATGTCACGGTCGTACTAGTCAACTTATACAATAACTATCTTGGTACGTACGCCACATTTACGATAAGAAATAGGTATTCGTGATTGTATTTAGTCACGATATCAACGGTCCGATACGTCGGCCCAATCGATGCTCTGTCACATCACTTTCTGAGAAACGTCCTCGATGAGACGAGGGGAGTACCAGTCCGTGGAAATTATGAAACTTGCAAAATAGCACGGATGAATTTTTTTTTAAGTCAAATATTTCTGCTAACTCCCATCTGTAGAAAGGTTTATCTAAGGTAAATCTAAGGTTTCTAACTAAGGTTGCTGGTTCCATCTCGACGTTTGGAAGTTGGAACTCAGAGTACCGACCGAGTCCTATAAAACTTTTTTTCCTCTCGGCAGACGCAGACCACGATTCACATGTCTGTCATTGAGATACGAGGTAACAGAAGTAGCCCAATAGAGAGATCGAGTGCTGAAATCACGTGGAGAAATTAGGCCTTTATTTTTTCCCCCGTAGTTTACAATATGAAAAGACTTTTGAGGAGTGTCAGAGCATCGTTTCTCCTCTATAGGTGCATTTTGGGCAGTGACTCGTATGCAGGTTCTCCCTCCACTAGAATGAGGATATTAATATAATGTTCATTGAATGAGTTTCGGACCCTCAGTCAAGTAAGGGAACACCTGCATGCTGTCGTTGAACATGAGTGCAACCTTGTTTATGTCATTAGCAGTGTTCGTCACTGACAAAGTGATCAAATGTCACAATCTTGGAACACTAGTAGATAATGGGTGAAACCCATTCACAACTAAGAGAATTTTAAGTTAGAAAATAAAACCAGTAATAAAAAAGGTGATTTCGACAAAAAGTCAGTCGACGAGGTGAGGATGATGCCGAATGAATGGATCCGTTCGACTAGGCTTCGATGTGACTCTCCCCAGCCATATATCGACACGTGCACAATTGCCATATTGCGTAGATTTCAAGTACTGGGAGGACGGATCGGACGAATACAAGGATCCAATCGGGACGCTGTTGCCGTTGTGGACGTTCGTGTGTTCTCGGGCTCCCAAATACAACGTCACCGGGCTCGTCTGGTCCACCAGCTTCCCCGATCTCTTTGGCGTCTCCTACGGGTCCTGTGAGTCCCATTCGCACGTTCATCGCAACCTCGTCTTGCCATCAATTCTACGGCTTATCTGAGTTGGTCAACTGGATGTTCGGACCGAGGAAATGGATGTACAAAAGTAGAATAGTATGCTATTGCGATGTAAAAAAAAAAAAAAAAAAACTCGAAGAAACACACTGCACCAATATTTGCATTTTTTTAAGGAGGCAACATGGAGTAAGAGACAGCGAACTGAAAGGGTACCGAAGATACGCAAAGAATAAAAGGAAAAAAAGCACATTCTTGGGGTACAAAGCTTGGTTCCAGCGAACGGCACTGAGCTATTTGAATGCTATGAAGAACCCTTCTGTTCGTCATAAAAAATGGGGAACCCATTGTCTTTGTCGCTCAGATGAGTACCGGAAACAGCCTGAATACGGAGTGGTGTGTCTGTTCACTCTGAAGAACCCGTCGCACCCGGAGTACATGTTCGAGACGGAGAGCGGGGCCATGGCGATAGACATCCACCCGAAAAGACCCCATCTCGTCGCTCTCGGCCTCTACAATGGATTCCTCCAGGCATGAATCACATTCTCGGCGCAATCTTCTATCATCATTCACTCGGTCTAAGTATCACTCACTGCATATCGACCTAACAAGGACTCCGCTCTCCGAAATTGCGCGTAATTATGGCCGAGAGAATGATGATGTTCACGGAGACATCATCAGCCATAATGATGGATCCGCATTAATATTATCGTATTATAGGTATACAACTTGAAGCAAGAGGAGGGTCGGGGAGGGCTCCTGTGGCAAACGGAGCTCGACGATGCCAAGACCATGGATATCGTCTGGCAGGTAATCCACACGAATGTATTGGTTTTTAAATAAATTAAAAAGTCGTTCATTGAACGTGTAAATGAAAAAATATCCCAGTCGAACTCGGCAATAACAGTCTCAATTATAACAAGACCTCAGTTGTAGCGCAATTATTTGTCCCACTGACAATATTGACAACGTTGTGAAGTTACTATTCACCCTTATGTTCCTCAATAACTGGAAATTCCATTGTTGGTCACAATTATTATTGGAAACCCCAAACTTAATTTTATTTTTCCTTCTCGTGTATGTGCAATGTGCGTGACCGGGAGGGAAATTATCGTCACCAAAAAATATAATTCCAATTTTCAGTTGCTATTCATAGTTCTTGTTGAAAGCTGGGGTAGTGAAAAACGAGAGATAAGAATTCACGATAGAGCAGAAAGTAAGCAGAAGAAAGAAAATAAACAAGAAAGAAAATTAAAGAAGTAATGCAGGTTCCGGTTGTGAACTTGGACTTCCGAGCACATCTGTTTTCACAATTTGGAAAAATGCAATCTCGATTCTGAAAAACCTTGGCTACCACGAAAATTTTACCTTTCTCCTTCAATGACGGTATAATGGAGTTCGACTGTAAATTATAACATATAGAGAAATCAAAGTCCAGGTATTACTACGCCGTAATGGGCGACTGATTTACCATCAGTAGAATATCGTCTGACAGCTGCTCTTATACAAGGAATTACGAAAGAATGGTTTCATCATTCAGTTTTTATTGCGAACAAAACGTTCCGGTTCGAGCGGTTCAATCGCACTCGACGATATGCAAATGACTGAGGGCGGTGAGATTGAGGTTAGAGTTGGCCTGTCGTAGGTGTGTTGGGGTGAGGACGACCCAGACGGTCAGGCGACTCTCTTCTCGGTGGCAGCCAATGGGAAGGTGTATCAATGGACCCTGATCCGACACGACATGAGGAAACACGAGATCCTCACTTTGGACCTGGAACCACCCATCACGAAGTCCGACGGCAGACTCCTTCATCTCATCGGCAAGTATTCCGTTGCATCGGCGCAGCGTTTCTACGATTCGATCAGTAGATGATACGCGGCAGGGCTTAGGGGCAAACAAAATAATGGTTCTGTTTCCGTTCGGGTCACTAAATAGTTTCTGTGTCGGCTACCGATCTCGACCTGCTTCTCCAGGAATGTAGAACATTTCAATATCTTGTCACGAAGCAAACAAAAAGAAAACCGCATCTGAAAGTGGCTGGCCTTTACCCGAATTTTCGAAGTAAAGCTTCTTTGTAAGGAAAAAAAAGGCGAAATTGAAAAGGCATGAAAAAACTTGTGACAGCATTGTAGTCGTTTCTGCTTTTTGCTTTGCTGAGTATTTCCACCTTGATATTGCAATTTAGTTTCTAGTTAGGAAATTTTTTCCCTTTTCGATCTCTTTGGAATAACCTTGCTGTAGCGGAATGAATTGGCATTAAATTTCAAAGGGGCGTTGAGAACATATTCAATATCAGTCTATGCACAGCACAGGTTTCGTAAAGTGACCCCAAATGACCGCAGTAAAGGCAGAGTTACAAAAGTCAGGGGTATTTTTTTGCCATACTCTGCAAAACTGACGTTGATTAGCGCAATTTCCCGTTATTGGTGAATACGAACGTGCAGGGTGTGGAACGGCGATGGCGTTTCACCGGGCTCAGCCAACGCTGCTCGTCGTGGGCACGGAGGAAGGAAAGATCTACAAGAGCAGTACCCTTTATCAGTCCAAGAAATTGACCCAATACATGGGGCATCACATGTCCATCTATGCTCTATCCTGGAATCATTTCTATCACGATGTCTTCCTTTCCGCTTCCGCCGACTGGACCGTCCGCATCTGGGACCACAATCACAGGTACAATGACAGGATTTTAAAATGTTATACACTGGGGGATAGAGGCGATGGTCAATTTGTAGAAGAACGGTATATACAAGTAAGCGATGCATTGAACACCCCTTCCCCCTGGGGGGGGGGGGGGGCAACGTACCTACAGTCGTTTCTTTCAGCGCCGTTCGGTCAGGGTTTTCTTCTTTTATTTTACCATTACAACATATTTAGAGCAAATTATCATAAATGGCAAAAACCCGTTTCAACAATGATGTCTAAGTTCGAGCGAAGAGGTATGGGAACGGTGTTCCCACTCACAATTGAAAGGCTGTGGGAGCGCTGTTCCTACTCTTTACTCCTAGCTTAATTCACTGGGGGCGGGAAACACGCATGCAGCGTAGAAAGGCCCCCGGGATCACCTAAAGAAGCCTCAGGTGAAGGGAAAGAATTCTGTAGTAACAGGTCAAAAGTTGGTATGTCTAAGTAAAATAGATATTTCGAATGTCTAAAATGAAGTTTCGGGGCAGAAGGCAAGTATCTTAGTCGACACATCATGCTTTGCACATACGCGAGTACGAGATAAATGGCACATCGATAAATGCGGTTGTCAAAACGTTGCTAGTATAAATATAGAATTTTCTGCATGGAAAGCGAATATGTGCAATGTTGCCATATCATGTTCTTATCGGTAACCAGAGTTTGGTTCTGCCAACACCGTGAAAACGGTGTTGGCATATAAACCAAATTAATTAAATTAATTATAAAACCTGACTAACACATATGTGCCGTTGAGTTGCAATGAAAACTTCCTGGAGTGAAAGGAACCTTAGAAAATATTGTTTTTCCTTTCCCCTCCCTCGACGAGAAGTGAGGCGTTGGTTACCCTGGATTTGGGCAGTGAAGTTGGAGATGCGGCCTGGGCTCCGTATAGTAGTACCGTCCTTGCCGCCGTGACCAATGATGGTCAGGTGCATGTCTATGACCTTGCCGTCGATTTTTACAAGCCCATCTGTATCCAGACGGTCGTTCCGCGGAAAAACATGAAGCTCACCCACATCGCCTTCAACCCCCTCCATCCCATCATCGTCGTTGGCGATGATCGGTCAGGTTCCAGTCCAAACTTGCTTCCTTTTTTTTTCAAGTGTATGGAATTACATTGAAGAAAAAAAAGGGAACTATAACGGAGTCCTCCAATTTCATGATCAGTGCAATCGTACCGTATTTCATAAAGGTGAGCTAAGGTACATAAAATCGCAAAAATTCTTCAGATATCAAGCTACCTTACTAAAACTTGCAAATGTACGTTATAAAAACATGCAAAATCAATCCCATTTTTCGAATAGTTCTTTGGTTATAGAAGACCAATAAATGAGCATGGTTGTTTCTATTTTGTGGTAGGGGGAATGTGATCAGCCTGAAGTTGTCACCAAATCTCAGAAAGCAGTGCAAGGAGTCCAAAGGAGGAGAAGACATCAAAACTTCAGATTTGGAATGCAAAAAGTTGACTCGCATCCTCTCTTTAGTCCGGGAACCATGAAATACAGAGATTTTATGAAAAGTGAAGGTGGGAGTTTGAAAACAGTTATGGTGGGAGACAATGAGGCCAGTTTTATTCAGATCAAGTGCATAAAAGTTCTCTAACCAAAACACCAGCACCTGTACTGACAGACAGGATATATTGATGCTAACAAGTTTGTACAAAAAAAGTTAGCTGTCCTGTAATTTTTGACAACCTCTTTCTTGACTTCTCTTGAAGTTTCAAGAGACTCACAATCACAAACATAAACTGAACACAAAAATAGAATGTAATCATATGCTGTTCTGCCACCAAAACAGAAATAAGTGATGGCACCTACTTTTGTGGCCCCACACGTCCAACACATATTGACATCAAAATTTATTAACGTTAATCAACTGGGATAAAATCATCCATGAACACAGAGGCAATACTGACCAGACAAGCAAAACAATGGACATCCATGATAGACAGGGACTGTGAATTCAGAGCCAATTCATGGATGAGCAAAATGAAATTGTAGAATAATAATTCTAGAAACAATACCAGATTTAAAATCTCTTATCATATAGTGTATTTTTTTTATGGGAGACTTCCACAGTAGAGGTTGAAAATTCAACCAATTTCCTGTACAGTACAGGTCAAGCAATCATTCCCTACATGCTACTGAGACCAATAGTCACAGCACCATTGCTGTTGACAAGAATCTATAAGCAGGTTGTACAATATGTGCAGTGATGACTCACCAAGAAACCCATTAATAATACACAGGGAAGGATTCCATGTACAATTTAGAATGAGTTTTCTGGCCATGAGCTTGAGGTGTTGATGTTAGGAAATTGATGACACTGCATGAAAACAGGTTCTCTGCTGAGCTGCAAAGAGAATTTGCATCCAATCATCTTGTACTCCTTCTATATTGAGGAGAAATATGGCTCTGAGAATGGTATGTTTTTACCTGATCAGCAGAGGAGGGTTTTTGGACTTGATGAGTGAATGATGTTGTACCCAGACTGGAGTTGTACACTTGAGGAGAGTCTGTGCATTCAAGTTGCTCATCACTCAGTTCAGCCTCAAAAACTGTTGGGCTCATGGGCAGAATAGCCCTATGAGCCCCAGCCACAATGTTGTGGGGAGGAGCTGAGATCCAGGGTGCTTTGGGCTTGGTTTCAGGCTCATATGATTGCACCATTGGAGGAGGGGAAGGACAATGAGTAATAACAAGATCCTGGTGCTGTGACAGTCTTTCAATGATGCTTTTTAGTCTGTCATCCTGGCGGGTGAAGTTGAGGAAAGCATGGCTGTAGGATTGAAGCTGAGATGCTGGATGTGGGAAGGGGGGGAAGCTAAGAGGGGGAGGGGTGGCAGGGATATGGAGAGGTTGAGGGTGCATGGCACGTTTCATCAGTTCCATACCATCCCTTGATTTTGATTCTCGATCTACCTTCTTTTTCCTCTTCTTTGTTGCCTCTGACCCATTTTGCAACTGCTTCTTCTCATCTTCATCTGCAACCCAAAAATGCAACATGTGAAGAGTGTAGGTTCTGATGTAGGTAAAGAGATTACGTAAAGTACAATTCACCTTTCTTCTCAGACTTATGTACTGGGATCCTTCTAGATTTGGTAGTACAAGGTTTTGGCCTTTCCATGTCTTTCTCCTGCTTGTTGTCACTGGGATGTGAAGTTTCGGCCTGTGATGAATATTTGGTTCCCCCACCATTGGACTTCTCGTGAATTGGGTGCCGTCGTTTGCGCTTGTCCAGCAGGCTGTAAGCACAGTTCAATGAATCCCTACATTTCAATATCAATTTGACATGTGTTCTACCCATATATTCTCTCAGCTAAGAACAAATAAAGGGAAAAATGAACATTTAACTAAATGCAAATTCCAACTCACTTGATTTCTGTTCCAGAGTCATCGGACTGGAACAAATACTCTTTCTTATGGCCCATAGTGCAATTGGAAAACCATGTGCTCAATCACTTAACATTTAAGCGTGTGCAGAAACATTTGTTACAAGGGCAAGAAGATCCTTAACAAAAGGTGATGAGGAACTAGAACTGAATTCCAACCAGAATTGCTGAACAGACATCAATATTTCATTTTCATCCTGATGAAATCAAGAGAAAGCTGTGAAACTTATAATCTGCAACATTGGGTGGGTGTGGCATGAGATAATATAGAGTGGCAGTTACAGCCAACAGCTTTGAAAACCCTAGCTAAAACCCATGCAAAACTTTTTTTAGCTTTTCCAACAACCTGGTAACAAAATAGCCCGATCTGAATCCAGGCTAAAAATATGATTATTGCAAGAAGAAACACTACGTATTTAATCATTCCCCTCCCCCATGTGTCACATGTAACAGAGGCAAGGAGATGAGTGTTAACTCCTTAGAATGATGCATTACCATTCAAATGAACAATGACATGTGAATTAATTGGAAATAGAAAATATAGCTTTCACTGAAAGGTTCATGTAAAAAATTGTTCCTGTCAAGTGTTTACCACTTCAAAGTTTTCAAACCTTGCATTTGTCTGCTTGATATTTCAGCCACCAGGGTTAGTGGAAACCAGCAACAGATGACAAAAAAGAATGGTGCTACACTATCATGAAAACATGCTGCAATAGGCAGAATAGAGCTTGTAACAGTGAAAAAATAAAAGAACTCCACTTGCATCCAAGGATTTTCACAAAATTCAATGTTTGCATATGGAATTGGGATGGATTTGTCTTACACCCACCCCCTCCATACCCCTATCTAAATTCCAACCCTTTAGAATTCTCATTGGATCCCAATAAATATATTCAGAACCCATCCAACAACCCCAGATCCCAAGAGAATTAATTTGGTCAAAGATTATTATTGTCCCACATCATGGAGTAAAAAAGAAATAAATAAACAAAACCCACAAAAACTTCAACTTTCAGAATTTTTGGTCATTAAAGATTACTCATCATAGCTCTGTATATAATGGAACTACTTGGGAAATGGAAAATAGCTCATAGCTCTACCTCAGTATCTTCAGGAGGCAATCAATAAAGCAGAATCCAGCAAGATTATAATTATGATTATAAGTTTTGGCATCATAAGGTAAATACTAGAAATAAAGTGATGAGGTCATCAAACACAGGTTTAGTGTTAAGGGTGAGGACTCCTCTGGTTTAGGATAGAGGGGCATTCAGCCATTTCACAGTCCTCTGGTTCTGCAGAGATACAACCAAACCTCTCAACAGCAAAAAAAAACAGTGCTGGAAGCAGTGAGCAGGTGAAGCTGATGATCATGCAACGTGCAGTGGTAGACAGTCATGCTCATCATGGACTTTGCAATGTATCTGAGGTATCACATGCGAAGCCAAAGGGAAACAAAGGAGAGTGCAATGCAGCGCTGCTTTATACCAACCAAACTGATACAAGCTTTGTAGAGGGCAGTCAGGCTTTCAAAATGAGCCTAATATAGGGATTATACAGAAACAAAAAGAGATCTCTCTTAACACAAAACATATCAAATAATATCCCCTTCATCTAATTGGAATTCAACATATCAACCCCTTATGAATAAACCCTTTCTTCTGACTTAGCAAATGAATATATAGACTTATGTCTTTCCAGAGACCAAACAGTTGGTATAACCTGAGGAAGAAATGAAGAAAAACTTCATATTGGAGTACATAAGGAATGAACAAAAGCAGAAAAGTTTCAACAAGAGAGATAGAAAGTACAAAAAGAAAATCCACCATACCAACTATATCCCATTCCTTTTCAATGGAAGGACTGATAATGAAAAATCTTATCCCATGGATTTACTAGTGGGGTGCCCAGCTTCAAGTCAGCAGGCAACCAGCAAAAGGTGAACATGAAACCTACCCTTGACCCAGAGCTCATCTTCCACTATCAACTCAAATTTTATAAGTAAACAACAAAAACTAAACCAGACCTAATAGCAACTACTATGAGAAAAAAACAAAAGTTCTACAAAAGTCCTACAAAAAAAAGCAAAGGCACTTCTGAGACTTATTTAAAGATTGAATAGGTTCTGGAAGCCATCCAAGGGCCACGGATAGTCACAAAGATCGGCTCTTCCATTAATCTCAGGTGAAGGGATATGCATAGGAGGAGGAGTATTGAGGTCATGAGACTCTGACCCAATGGTTGTTGTGACTACAGTTGATGGAGGGAAGCAAGCATAAGTTGGCACAGGAAAGGATGGGAAAAACCGGCTGGGAGATATGACAATATTTTGGTAGAAATTTGTCACATTTACTGAGATTGATTGAGGACTACAAGATGGTGGAGTGGCTGGCATTGGACATGGCATGGATGGGGTGACAGCTGGCTTGGCTTTAGGCTCATATTTAGGTGTCTCTCCTGTAACTTGTCCAACATCCATGGATGGATATGAATGAAGAGGAAGACGAGGTAACTGAAGAAAATCAGTTCCAGGTTCATTATTGGACCATTGGATTGGCATCTCCTGTGATTGGGAAACATTTGCAGGGGGTGGCCCAAAGATTGAGATCATGTTTGAGGCAGTGCTACTAGATGGCAGTTGAAAGGCTTGAACTTGGTTTGCAATTGCCATCCTCTCAGCTGCCTCTTTCATACTGGGCTTGATGTGTACATTTTGGATATGCCGTTGCATGTTTCCTTTCTGTGAGAAATCTCTTTCACAGATGGGGCACTTGTATGGCTTGGAACCCAAGTGGTTTTGGATGTGCTTGGCACGAGAGGAGGAGTCAATGAAGGTCTTGTCACATCGTGGGCATGGGAAAGGTCGCATGTTGAGGTGCTTCCGCAGGTGAATGTTGTATGACCAGCGGTGCATGAACTCATGTCTGCAGAATGGACACATCAGCTGACTTGTTTGGAAGATGTTGCAAATGCGCTTAAAGACACGAGAGCGGCGTTGTTGATCTTGTGGTTTCAACAGGAATGGTGGATCCCCTGTGAGGGTGGCAGTGACATCAGGGGCAAGATGGATTATGGAGAGTGGGGGCAGCATAGTGTCACGCCGCTTGCTGGCAAGCATAGCCACCGCAATTGTGTCCAGCATTTTCACCAAGTGAGTCGGTGGCTTATGGCTGCATAAGATGATGGGAAAAGGAGAAGGGAAAGAAGCAAAGAAACAGAAACAGTGCAAGGTGGCAAGCAAGACAATGACAGAAACTGAAGCACCTATCCATGCATAACAAGCAAGTGTAAAGCTCAAGAAAGCAATATGACTAAGTTTGATGAAGAAAAAATACTGAACCTCATTTACTCACTTTCTAGAAGCTGCAAAGTCAGCAGGTGGTGGTGCAGCTGACTCTCGAGACTTATCCTCAGGATGATGACCCACATCCTTCCCTTCCTTCCACAGTTCATACCGATCTGGCTGGAGGCGTCGTACAAATGTATCCATGCTGATCCTCACCATGTCATCTCTGGAAGCATAGATATTGTCTCAATAAAATTGCAAGATATCAGGGACAGGTAATATCTGGTTATCACACAGAAGGGACTCACTGGCAGGTACATTGAACAGCACGCTTTCCATACTCTACCCAGCGTGGCATGGCAAAATTGGTAGACTCAGCACAGTTGTAGCCAGTATTGAAGCCTGAATGGTAGCCATAGGGAAAGGTGATCATGAATTCCCCAGGATATTGCACAATCTGAAAATAAAATGAACATGAGAAAAAAGAAAGCACAAGAGAAGAAACCTTGCACAAGTTGAAAAACAGACCTTGCTGAATGGGATTGAGTAAGCCTTGAGAACCTGAGGAGACATCAGTGTCATCTTGTGACGGAGATACCCGGGGCAGACCTTAAAAGCACTTGGGAAGAAACCCTCAGCCAAGCGTTCCAGTCTCCGACCATGCTCAGGTGGAATGACATACCTGAAATAAATTCACTAAAGCATGCTTCCTTTCTTCAAAGCAAATTATCAAGAGTGGAGACCAGTAGCAGACTGCTCCTAAGAGGAAGGAGTAGGGGCCCAATAGGAAATTAACAACAAAATTCATATCACCACTACCTCATATGTAACTTACATTTTCAGGTTAACTTTGCTTTGCTGCAAATGCTAAAAAAAAAATATTTATATTTTGAGATAGTCTGCAAGATCTACAGAATCCTATGGTCATAAGACTCTGACAAGTAGTTCAAGCTATGGTGGGTGTGCAGGCAATGTTACCAGTGAATCTCCAATTAAATGTTATGTTCCTAAAAAATGCCCCTCAAAAGAAAGTGTGAAAATCTACTGGATAAATATTTTTTTTTAAATACTGGTAATGTACAGTGTGAGTTAAAAGTCACTGGATGACTTTGAACTGCTATAACTCAGCAAGGAAGACATCAATTTGAGAACTTTTTTTGCATATGAAAGAGCACGCATTAATTAACCAAATAATATGAAAATTTTCATGAAATACTTGTGAGATATTGGGTGACTCAGCACGAAACAAAAAGTAACATTTTCCAAATAAATCTGATAATTAGGGGACAATGGACATACTATTCATGGTAATTTCTTCATTATCTGTGAAGGAAATCTTTCTGAAGTAAAGGATCATTTTGCATTGAAGACAGGTGGATAGGACAGGTCAGGTCTATTGAGTGGCCTCCCAGGTCACTGGACCTGACTCCACTCAACTTCCGGCTGTGAGGGTTTCACTCAAAGACCAGGCATTCACTGAAAATTCAAACATGATCAATAAACTGAAGCAACAATTCACTAAGATTGCTGGAGTTGCCTTTCAGTGATGGCTCACGTGATGGTGCTCAATATCACAGTCAGTAATTACAGACATTTTTATGCCATTAATGATTTTTTTTAAAACAATGCATACATATTGATTAGCACATGCTCTTTTCTATGCAAAAAACTGCAAATTAATGCCTTCCTTGCAGAGTTATTGTTGTTCAAAGTCATCCAGTGACTTTTAACTCACCCTGTAGATAGGGGATAGGCTGTGAAGCTGAAATCAATAAAAGGTAATAGGAAGTATACCTGACAAAAAATAATTATCTGCACATAAATGAATAGCAGAAGAGGAAAACACATCGTAATCTCTGAAAAATAACAGCAATGGATTATTTATACGAGCATTACCTCACATAGCCATTATTATCAATGAAAATTGATAACTTCACATTTACTTACCAAAATTTGGGATCTCCAAAGTGGAGGTAATTTATTGAGTACAAATCCATATCCTCTGTGTGCCAGGCAAAGGTTGTCTTCCACATGCCAAAGTAAAGGTATGCTGTGTTCACTCCTTCAATGCTGATGCCATAGTCCTCATTCACATAGTCCAAGATTGTATGCAAGGAGTTGATATTCCACTCCTACAGAGAATTCATGAATAGGATACCCTTATTTAAAGGATGGAAAGCATGCCAAAAAGAAAGTTATCTGTCCAACTCACCTTAACATCTTCATCATACAGAGAGGCATTAATATCTGCTCCATAGGTTGGTGGATTGTAAGATACATTTTTCCAGTATTTTCGTTCCAGGTCATCCATGTTTCTGTAGTCAGGTGTACGATAACTAGAAGAAAAATACACCTAATATCACACTGAAGCTATGATGAATGCCTGACATGGACATGGAATGCCTGACATGATGTCTCACCGATCACTGGTTGCAAACTTTTCAAACTCCCTCACTACCATTTTGGGCTTTTGCACATTGATTTGTTGATAAATTCCTGACTTTCCTGTCACTACCTGGGAGATAGGAGCAGGAATTTCAAGGTTTTTTACAGCCTCACAGTCATAGCCACCTTTCCGTGGGATCCATTCTTTGGGTGGGACCACCTACAATAAAATCATACTTCTGGGTTTTTCTCTGACCATACCCTCCATGGGATAATCTATGCAAATGATGAAGTGGGACAAACCTTGGCCAAGCCTGCTTTATGAGCACCTTTGCTCTCAATGAATTCAATGTATTTAGGAAAATCCTGGAATTCTTCCATGGTTGGATGGAATACTTGAATTTGCGGTATGCCAGAAGAACTGCTACTGCAACCATTGCTGGGAGTTTCACCTTCTCCTGAGTCCAAGACCCCTTCAATACTTGCCATCTGTTTATATCATAGAAGCAAAACAAACATTATACCATTTGTTTCTGAGCAAGAAAGGCACCAATGATTACTTTCTGATTTTATAGGAAAATGATTGAAGAAAGGCTAATAACATTATTTGTTGCCATCAACAAAATTTCAAGATCTTACATAGGAAAATAGCTCAATGTAATAATCTATTTTGACTGTTAAAACTCTGGGATATTTTTCAGTTTAGTCCTGGAACTGAAGCTTAGCCATAATGTACAGTGTTCTGTTATGTAGTTATGCAACTGAAAGTATTCTAGGGTCACAGTGCTGAGAGACCAGAAGATCATGAACTGAAGAATTGAGACCATTCTTGCAGTACCTAAGGATACATTGGCAATCTGGTTCTCAAACCCACATGTGTCTCAGCCCTGACCTCACTATGAGAATTAAGGATAGTGGTGCATAGATGTGTGAGTGCCCTCTTTCCATCTTGCCCACTTACCTCTTTCTTAACCCTTTCAGACCTGAATTAAGGCTGCTATTGGAATAATATCCTTTTTAGCATTTTTGAGCTCTTTCGTGATTGTAATTGAAATTTTCATGCTTTATATGTAGTTTGCATATTTTGTATAAATTTACCATATCATACCATATATTATATATTTAATTATATAACTGAAGATTACATCACTAATAGGTGAAAGAAGGCCTCTGATGGAACTGAACCATGCATAATTGCACCCATTTTAGCATAATATGCAGCACAAAGTCACAAGAATCCCAAGAGATTGCCATAGGCACAATGTAAATGCAATGTCCATTGGAACGGATGCCAGGTCTGAAAGGGTTAAGAAAATGAGGGATCAACTTTGTCTGAATACCTGGTCCTTAGTACTGTAGTTAAAACATTTACAAGCACAGCATGATCCTATTGACTGACAGCAAGATCTGGAGATCTTGTTGAATATGAGAATTGGGAAACTTGCAAATTAATCCATACCTAGAAAAATCCTAAGTTACAGGTCAAGGTTTCTGCTGACTACTATCATGAAAATAAATTTTACCATAACAATTTACGGAGTCGAACTCCACTGGACCACTCTTGACACATTCACTGTTACACAGGCTATCCAGAGTGTTGTGAATGATGTCATACATTACTGTGATTTATTCTACACATCACCAGACCCTGCTTCACATCCAAATAATGAACTGATCATCTTGCCATTAAATGGTGGAAGAACACATCAGAACAGTTGAACTAATACACCATGACAGGTATAACTACCAGTGACAGATGGGTCTGTCCACTGTGTCAGACATTACATCCAGAGTAATATGTATGATATGCAAAATGTATTTAACTATATTATTATAATAAATTATGAAGCAACAAATAAAGGCTACAATAACTAGCTTTAGGCAGTGACTGAAAATTCTATAATCCAAAGTCTTGGATACTCTCTTCTGCTGGAGGTGCTGTGTGTTAAGTGTGAAGTGTCAGACATGACATTTTGTGAAACCACTTGCTTTTATGTTCACATCATAAAGCAAAGCATAATAATTTAGCATTATGTTTATTCAATAGATTGAATGAAAGCCTGGAATTTGTGTAAGTCGCCTCAAGATTACAAAACTAAGAAAAGAAAGTAAGGCTATTTTGTGAATGTGTCAGATGTGACAAGTTCTGAAAATGTATTTGACACTAGAAGTCTATACATATCTTTCAATATTTTTTTATAATTTATCATTCAAATGTGAACAATTGACATCTACTCTTCACAACTGAGCTGATTTGAAATAATCAGTATGCATGGGAGAACCCATGCTGGAATCTGTTCCAATAGTCCAATTCAACCTCTCCAGATTTGCATTTCCATCACATCCATGAATATCATGAGAATGGTGTATAATATATAATAAACATTTCTTCAATTTTAAATGTAATATTTTCCTTCATATTTTCTGTAAAAGAAGATGATGAACTCTTGTAGTGAAAGTAATACTTGCATATTTAGAGAAATTGCCTACTAAAATCCTTACATCACTTGGCCAGGACAGATTTAAATATTGATTCAAAATGGCTGAAAAGAGGCAAAGAACGCTATACATGATATAGTAAAAAAAAAAATTCCTGTCCTGAAAATGGTAGGAGCTTTATCTAGAGCTACCTTGAATCCTATTGCATCCATGGCAGCAAAGTTAATGTCAGCAACACAGAATTGGCCATGTACCTGAAGCCATCATCAACATTTCATTTCCTCATCTTAACCTATCCATGTGCACCAGGGTACTGATACCAATAATTTAATGATACCATCTGTGTATTGTGTCAGTAATAAGAAGGCACAGCCATCCCATTCACAGCATGTGTTCCCTACACCCATCCAACTGGGGGTCCAGTTGGATTCTAGCTAGCACAAAATCCTTCATCCTCAACTCCAGGGTTTGAGAAGGAAATGAAAGCATCAAATATGGAGAAACCCCCTCAGAAGTTGGCATCCCCAGGCATAAAAAAAAAATGTGGCTGGTGCAAGCATGCAGAGAGACTGCCATATTACCGATCTTATGTATGGATACCTGAAGGATCTTAGGCATAATTCGAATAAAGCTCTATTGGCATAACATAGGGGAAAATATTTGAGTAAAAAAAAATATAGTAAGAACCTCAACTTTGGTGACACTGTTGTTCTCTAATGCTTGCTCCTCCTTTGCGTGAGAGTTAGCACTTTTGACTCAGACATAAATATGAATTCTTTCCCTGCCTACACCCTCACTTCTTGCTTTTTTCATTTCAACTAAATTTTGAGCAGTTAAGTTACAAAATGGTTGACTGTTACATGAAAATCAGTCCAAAAAATGCTAGGCAGGTGGATGTAACAAGTACCCATCAAAATAAACATGAAACCCATGAGCGAAGTCAGAATTTTACAAGTAGTAGACAGGTGAAATTTCAGGTGTTGCAGTTGACAGCACCAGCAGAACTGTAGAAACCCATAAAGAGTGCCCATCTCCGACCCAAACAAAGCCCACGTGGTCCAAACCTATATTAGTTCCAAATGTGAAACCCAGGAAGCATGCATCAGGCGTGTAACTTTTTCGTTGTTGTGCAGGCCTACTAGAAGAACCGGAACAAACCAGGTAGTAAAGACACAGGTTGAATTAAAGGTGCTAAAGGTTTAGGCTTAACGCCAGACTTGTCGCGCTTTTCAATACAATATTTGGCTATCATAGGCCTAACATTAGTAAATTAAATTACCTTGAATGGAGAGGGCAAAGGAAAGTTTGTGTTTGACTAAGATGGGAGTTCAAATGCGATGAGGACAGCGCTATTCGTTGAGGCCCAGTATCTCACATCTTGTAGTAGGGCTAGGTTCGCTGGTTATTGACAATAATCCTCCAAAGGCAAAATAATCTCTCACACACGTTGAAACTTTCCGACACCAAGATCTCGTAAATACCTCTTCACCATCTTTGTTTAAAACCACCTTGCGCGTATTCGACTTGGCAGAATGGTGGGATTTAATCCATGATCTTGCAATATAGGCCTAGTTATAGCTCATCCAACATGTTAAGACAAGCAGTGCTCGTGTTTATACAGTGTTTTTCACTTCAGTTAGACAATTTTTCACTTGACTTCGACAACGGTGCATGGTGAGGGTGATTTAGCAGATCGACGCAGAAACTAGGAGTTCCATACTTAAGTGCAGATGTCGTGATGAACCTCTCTTCAGCAGGAAATTAATCATCATCGTTGTCGCCAATGTCATCACGACATCTGCACTTAAGTATGGAACTCCTAGTTTCTGCGTCGATCTGCTAAATCACCCTCACCATGCACCGTTGTCGAAGTCAAGTGAAAAAAACGTCTAACTCAAGTGAAAAACACTGTACCAAGGTCTCTAAAACATATGGTCACTGCCATAGGAATTTTAACTTTCTCGTAAGTGGCAAGACAAATTACTCCGAACACCCCAGATGGCAGGTTACGCGAATGGGGAAATCATTCCACGTCAAATTGTTCAAATTTCAGGTTACACCGTCGATTGGGACTCACCTGTAAGAAACAATGGTTCTTGAGAGTTATGAGAAACTGGTTAATCCAAAATGTAAAGTGCTTAAATCTAATGTTCTCCGAGATGTGTTGTTCGCTTAATTAATTTTTTGTCAGGTATTTGGCCGAACACGCCATCTCCCAGCCTCAAGCTAGAAAGCTAGCAAAAGACTCGGTTTGAAACTTTAAGTGAGACGATTTTACTTTAAGATTTTTTACTATGAAATACTTTTCTTTCACTGTCAGGAAGCAGTATTATTTAAGACACCTAATTTCATACTCTCGCCATTCGGTTTCTCAGAGCAACAGAATGAAACCACTTTATCTTTAAGAAGCTTAAAAGCAGTCTCCTTTTTTTTTCAAAGGAGTTCATTTCTGAAATGAAACAAAAAAAACTATTAAGGATTGAATTTCGGCATATTGGGTAAAAATGCGATACAAAGAAAGCATAGCGAGTGACATTACCCGCCACCCTTGCTCCCCTCTCGCTTGATCAGTTCACTCGGCCCTTTGAAGCAACCCAGTTAGGAAGAAGTAACTCTCACATGTGTCGCTTCGTGTAGCAGCCGCCCAGGTGGAAGCATTGAAGTGCACGGTTCTCCTTTCCACTAGTGTCGAAAGGCTCATGCGAAGAGTCTTGTGCTTCTGCTTTCCCAAGGACGAAGCTCTGCTTCAAAAATGGCAGATCATATTTTAATTACCGAACGGTACGATTCTCTATGCTCAAATGGACGAACGAGAAAAAGCAGGAGAGGAGACGATTCGACTATGACCCTGTTAGAAGGTTCTAAAATTCAACAGTACGGAAATATCTTAAGATTCGTAATCATATGCAACCGCATAAGATTTCGGCCTTTCTGGTGGCTAATGATGAAATAATCTCACTCTGGGAATGGATATCCCCCAGTACACAATTACATTTTTTTTATGACCATTTATTATACAACATGCCCTTTACAGGAAAAGGATACAAGGTGGGAGGAGGTGGAATATACAGGACTAGTTATAGACAGATGGTGGTTCTTCAGCGGTTGTTGGAGTCCAGGTCTTGGGAAATGACCATTTATTATACAACATGCCCTTTACAGGAAAAGGATACAAGGTGGGAGGAGGTGGAATATACAGGACTAGTTATAGACAGATGGTGGTTCTTCAGCGGTTGTTGGAGTCCAGGTCTTGGGGTTGTAAGGTGGTGTGGAGGTCTTGGGGTTGGGTGGGTCCGCGGCCAGCCACCAGGTGGTCACAATTCCATCTTCGTGCCAGCGATATTTATATACAGGGTGTTCCAAAAGTCACTGTGCACCACTTTGCTGTGTTTGAAGCGTAATAGTTCAGTTGCGATTCGCAGGCCTCCAAAGTGGTGCACAGTGACTTTTGGAACACCCCGTACTTAAGAAACTAAGTGATATTGCACATGATGCTCCCAGTCAGCAATTAGTAAGACAGTTGGAATTCTCAGCCCAGCCGAGCGCACCAATGCAATGCGCATGCGCAATCAAAAGATGCATTTTACAAAACCAGACGTCTAGCCTAGGACTAGCTATTTCTTTCTGAGCCCTTGCGTCAGGAGGTTACAATCTGGCTCTCCACAGCACTCAACACTATAGCAGGGGTCGGGAACCTGTGGCTCATGAGCCAAGTTTGGCTCACGAATCGAAAAGTTTGGCTCATTGAGTCATGGCTGAAAATCATGGTTGTTCCTTATTTTTCTCATGTATCGAAGAATGCATATGTTTGTTGTCAACTTCATGAAAAAATTCTGATATTCTAAGAATCTTTCGCTCACAAGCACTTAGCTCAATCTTAATATGGTTCAAATGGTCATAAAGGGTTCCGACCCCTACTATAGCAGTATCCTTTCGAATAAACGAACGCACTCAGCTCTATGTATTGGCTTTTCAACAACTCTGCATCGCTTTGATTGGCTTATATGTACATATAAGTTTTTCTTCATTAACTGGGTCTTTCTTTTCTTTCATTGTAGTTTGACAGAGAAGAATGTGGCGAAGTAGTGGCTGTAGATGTATTGGGCGTCACAATACAGTACTTGGTGATACTCGCGGGAGTTTCATACCAATATTTTCGATCACAAGCCACTTTGAATATCCATGGCCAATATGTTATAGGACGACAATTTGATATTTTCTCACGGCCTGATTTACCCCTAGCTGGCCTCGGTGCCACTTTCTTGCCCATATATTAATCATTTACCATTTTATTTCTCCGGCTTGTATGTATTTACGCTTCCTCATATTGCCGGACAAAACAGATGAGATGGGGGAAAACAACGAAACTCGAACTATTCTTCCGTTCAATCCAGCATTTATCTCAGTCCATAATGGCCAGCCCCGGGGGAGACCATTTTGTTTCGCCCCTCTCTGAAACTACCTGTTTTCAAGGGTCAAGTTATGGCAGGAATGAATCTTCAGTGACGGAAAGTGGGTGTGCATGGCCCCTCGAAATGGGACATGCCATGATCGTACGTGCTGCATTTTGAGTCGAACGGCTACGCAGAGTCGAACGGATGCTTTCTATGACTCGAACGCGGCGGAATTTCTCCCTTTCATTCCGTAATCTGTACAGCCAGCCTCAGTTAACCTAGTGACTAATGTTTGCCGGATCTGTTCGCACATTCTGTCACTCATATTTGTTTCCGTAAGGGAAAATCAAACATACGAAGAATCAAAGGATTTTTTTTTTTCATGGAATATGAGTATGGGTTCGAAACACGAACACAACTAAGTGGGGCATAACATTCTAATAGAATAAAATTCAATGAGAAGTGAAAAAGCGAAAACAAAAACTAAAAGAGTGACCAGCAAATGTCCGATCAAAATACACAAAGGAAGGTGGGCTTTACTTGGCTGGATCATATGGATTATCATCATCAGAATCAGAAATTTATTGAGATCGCCCTTACGAAAAATCCCCCTTTAGTCCACCGGGGGAATATCCAAATACTCGGGGTGATCCACATGTGGACTGACAGTTAGCCATGTGTGGACTGACGTGGACAAGTCCCCGTGTGGACTTGTCCACATGGGGACTATTGTGGACATAAGAATATCCCCATGTGGACTCTATGGGGATCCTCTTAATCCAGCTCATGACCTTGATAATGAACAAGAATTCATTGTAGTATTAACATGAAGCACGAAAGGTGTGCTCAGGTCAGTCGCTGAGCGAGGAACCGGTGCATGTTTATTGCTCATTGCAATAAACATGGCTCCAAACGGCAGTAGTACAATAGACCTCATTTTCATAAATAGACCGCGTTGCAATGAAAAGTCTAAAAATTCACCTTAACCCAATCCGAAAGCACCAAAAAGTCCTATCTGAGTGGATTTTGTGGAGACAGCAAGCCCGAGACCACAAACACACATACAAGTAAGCTGAAAAGAAAATGAAACGTAAAATCGATATAACCTTGCTTGGCAATGGCCCAGATCTCTCACAGTTGACTCAGGCGATAAAGGATAAAGATCTAGAGCAAGGCTTCCCAACCAATTTCACGCGCAACTCCAAAAATCACGATCATGCCATTCAGGATCCCAAGCACTGGTCAAACAGTCTCCCCACCTATGCACTAAAATCGCAAAGAAAAACACAACTTGGCACATATTTGCCGGTTCGCGACCCCTGGGTTGGGAAGCCCTGATCTAGAGATTGCCAACAGCATGATAACGACCTATATTTTTGACTCAGTGCCACTGCTTTACCCTAAGAATCTGAGACATAAGAAATGGTTCGATGCGGAGTGCCGGGAGAAGAAGGCTGAAGCCATACTTCACCTCAAAAAGGCAAAAATGGGCTTGACAAACCCGGCCCAATACACGGCAGCTAGAGAAAGATACAAAAAAGTTATAAAAGCAAAGAAAACCCAATAAGAAGAATGTTAACTCCTCAATGACAATCTTACGGAAACAAGTAACCCCCCCTCCATTGTCATTATTTAAATAACTAGGTGGGAATCCCATTTCCCTAAGCTTCACAACCTCACAGGGAAAGCAGACGATTTCTCAAGAATCACCGCTCCGCTGAGAGACCAAGACAAATGTGAGTGGTTCAACTGCCCTTTCAATGAAAATGAGGTAGCGTCAGCTATACTATCTGCCTGAGATAAGAAAGCCTCAGGAATCAATCAAATGAACACATAAAAGGGTCATTCCCTATCCTCCTCCACACCTGGAAAGACCTATTTAACTTATGCTTCGATAAAAGCACCATACAACTCAACTGGAGGATTTCTACCCTCAAGGTATTGTTTAAAGGCACAGGCCCAACCACAGACCCAGACCACTATCGCGGAATCGCACTTTTGCAATGTCCACTCAAAATTCTTCCGAAGATCATCTCTGCCCGTCTCACGCTATACATAGGTCACCTCTTCCCAGAAGAGCAATTTGGCTTCAGGAAAGGAAGAAACACGGAGCAAGCCATAAAACAACTAGTGAAGACTATCAAAGAAGAAATCGATATACCCAAGGGAAGAATGTACCCAACAAACAGAGTAGCGTAGTGGGAACGTGCCCCTAGAGCAGGGGTGTGCAGTGGGCCGCATGGAAATGTCTGAGCTTCACGCGGGTCATAGAATGCAAAAGCAAAAGCTTCCCTCTTTTGCCCTCAGGGCATATGAAGAGGGCATATGAAGGTCGCGACGATTGGCCGATGACCCTTATCTCCACCCCTAGGAAATTCCCTAAGGAAATTCCAACGCCCGAAAATGGCCTTTGACATCGAGAACTTCCTTCCTCGGGACATTTGTAGCACCGCCCGCGTGAAGAATAATTAGGGAAAGCAGGTAAAATGACTCAGTCTATTTCTGGTTACTAAGGGAGGAGGAAAGTTGTGGTAGGCCTTGGGTCCGCAACGTAACTTTTTCATCTCTCATCCCATTATGCGTTTCCGGGCCGCAAGAAGTAGGTCCACGGGCCACATGCGGCCCGTGGGCCGCGGGTTGCACATCCCTGCCATAGAGTCAATTCAGCGTCATCGACGTTGAAGGTCCAAGTCCAACGTTGTGTAGATATTGTAGCAGTGCTAAGGCTTTATGATGCCTTCTTAAATCCTTCTTAAATGCAGACCTGGCTGCAGCTTTCAGATCTAAAGGTACAACTATGCAGTTCATATTCTACGCAGACGACGTTGTTGTTTTCTCCAGCAAACCAGAACATTATCAAGATGCTCTAAACATCTTGAGTCACTGGACTTCCGAGAATGACGTGTCTGTCAGCACAGCAAAGACGAAGATTCAGGCGAGGCGGGAAGCTCTCCAAGTTTCACAAATTCACATATAACGGAGAGACCATAGAGATAGCCCCATCTTACACAGGCATGAAACTCCAACCTACTCAAACCATCAGCGCGCACATCGAGAGAAAAAACGTTTACGGTTTATATTGTATCGAAATCACGCACAAGCAGAGCAGAAATTGAAACTTCCATCGAACACTTTGAGTGCGAAGAGGCGCACCCGGTCCGAGGATAAAAGTGGTGGTAGACGACTTTCTTCCCTCGCACAACTTCTGAACAAAAGTGCATCTAGCACACCAAGCGAATTTCATATTTATGTATAACATATCTTGTGTCTTTTCCATTCATACGTATATACTTGTATATAAACTGGCAATGCAAATTTCGATAACCGAAAAGCTCTCTACTTGAGGCAAAGGAGCCTAAAAACAAGCTAGCTCTTGCAAGCAGGCACCCGCTCATGCGCAATGCAGATGACGAGGCCGGCCTCCCTTCTCTCGTATACTGCCGTATTGCTAGTGCTACGGGATGCCTCAATGCATCGTCTTTGAGCCAGAGGAGGCCAACAGGCTCTGGGCTTCCATATGCGATTCTGGGCAAAAGTAAATTGTCAGAGATCGGACTTTCGCTCGTTTTGTGTCAATTTAGCGTGAATCCAATGACGACCAGAGATTTCTGTCAGTTATTTGCTTTCCTAATGGATATATTCAATAGTATGGGGAAAGGCCTCCCTTGCCTCTGAGAAGCCGCCACTGGAATCAAAAGTATTTATAAATGTGAGAGAGAGAATCCGGATCGTGCCCTCAAGTGCATGGAGATGCAGTAAACATAAGCCACGTTGACAATGATAAGTGCAACAGTCAGCCGCATATGCACGAGCGATATCTCTATTAATTTCTTGAATGGACTAGAGCAGGTTCAAGGAGTTTCTGGATCCATATCTAAGCAGTCGAAGCCAGAGAGTTAGGCAGAACTATCTCGTGGTGGAGCCCATGGCTAGGTTGCATAACCTCACCTACTCGTCACGTGGTATGTGATTATGCGAATCACATCAAAATGAAGACTCGATACAAATATAGACGGAACGGAACTTCACCCTTCCAGCTGGGAACGGCCGGATAGAAGGTGTCATCCCGACGGTACATGGAATCCTCGGGCGCGTCTTTTTCGGAAAGGCCACCGGACCCCAGATCCGTCGAGCGCTTCTCGCCCTCTCCCCCCCCCCCCCCCTCCCCCTTGCAACCAGGCGCCGGAGCAGGGCTCTAAAAAGGAGGATGTCGAAACGGCGGTGTAGCGGCTGCTTCGACGGGGTCATTCGTTTCGGATTAGGAATTCCAGACGACGAAGTTCGGCGTTCCGTCCTGTCGCTGACTCGGACATTCTGGAAGCGAGTCATGCTTAGCACTTGTGACTCGGGTGTTTATTAAAGGTCTTTATCATTTCCACCAGGGAGGGGCTGATAAATAGTTGTGACAAAATAAATACGATGACTTTCCTCATTTGGAAGCTCTTCAGCTCATCTAACTGCATGCAAAAGCACTTCGAGATTGAGAAATGGGAGATTTCAAGAGTGTTCTCGCTCTGTCTCGATTTTTTTCTGTCGCAGAATCCTTTTTGCACGATCGCGGCAGATTTTGAAGGCCTGTTTATAATATGGCATATTAGGGAAACACCGCTAAACTTATATCCTTGAACCACCCAAGAAATGCAAAATAGTGCCATAATAAAGAGCCTGTTCCAAGATATTATTTACTCAATTTTTTTGTGACTCAATTAACTCCCCCCCCCTAGCAACATAATCCCGGAGTTCAGCAGAAAACGAGGATATGAAGAACTCAGCAAGCCCGATGGCATCGGGATGTTCGTTTCTTCCTCACTCGTTCAAATGAAGAGGGTCACCAAGGATACTCGTGGGCTCATTCCCACGAATCCACTCCGAAAGACCAATTCTATTCCAAACGATGCTCCGATGATAGTTGATATTTTCCAGCGCCACATGCCATCGGGCAAGCGAGACCCGAGCAAAAACGAGGCGGTGGGACGGACTCATCCATCAGAACGGCCGGAAGCCTTGAGGTCCGAATGTGGCAAGGGCAATCAAGGACCGAGCACCAAGGACCCCGATGAGCGCAGCACGTGGACCGTGCCGAAGGGACGGAGCTCGTCGGTTGACTTTTCTAAAAAGCAAGATGGATGTTCGATTACGCCATATCCTCGGTGATTGTAGGTTGTGCGTGCAGCAAATAAATGTCTGATTACGCAGCAGGAAACTTCCTTTTATTTATATCAAAAGGTTGTTATTGTACACAGGCGATTTAATAAAGAAATCTATTAATAAATTTTATACATTCCATCGCACCCCTTTTCATCAACCGCTTGTTCACATTTGGCCCCTCGGGGCGGATTTGTGTTAAGAGACGTTGATCAATCTGAAACGAGTCGAGTGCCATGTCACGCAGTCGAGACCCTGCCTTTTCTTGGTTACGTGCAGCCTATCCTGCGAACTTGGGAATTTCTTCTTTATTTTTGTACCGATTCGTGGCGGCTGCGTGCTGAGAACCGTTCTCGATAACGGCCTCCAGTGCGTCAAGCAGCTTTACCCGAGATGTATCTCTCTGTGGTGAGTCACTTCGAGGAATGATACTCATCGACGACGGTACTTACTCCTTTAGCTGCTGATATATATATATATATATTTTTTTTTTTTTTGTTTTTTGTTTTGAGGTGGAATCCCCTATGCGAGCGTATTTCAGGCTTTTCTGTTTCAACAAAGTTGATATTGATTTGAATTGCGCTCATTCCCCTTAAAAGTGAAGTAATTAAATTAAATAAAATTAGTGAAAGTAATGAATTGACGTCAGATGCACGCTTGATTGAATAATTAGCTAACACTGCACTTGCACTAAGGACGGCACATCCTTGAAGTGGCGGACGTATATACAGTATACGTCCATAGCAGTGGAAGGGTTGAGCACGAGTTTCGCGATTCTACGGGCCGATGGCTTCGAAATCCAGAGACCTGGAAGGCATTCGCACAATGCGAAATATTACCCCGGACATAACGAGGACGGATGAAGGCTGCTATCGATGATCGATGAGCCGACCTCAGCCGACATTTCAAGGGCACGACGTTGCCGACCGGGTGAAGAGATGCCTCCGACTTTTGTTATGAGCTTTCTCGCAACCAGCCACTTCAGAATTGCGCTTTTCGGTTCCGAGCTAAACGGTGCTTCCGAAGAAGTTATGATCGTCCACGAAGTTACCAGCTTCTGTTAGCCTTGATGAGACTAGTGGATGGGTGATATTCAAGGTTTTTCCTCGTCTCCCTCTCAACAACAGGCCCACGCATTCCACGTCCAGCTCCAAGGATTCTCTCTTGCATGCGTCTATACACTCAGTCCTCAGTGCCGTCACCCGATCTTGTGGACTTCGCTGTATAAGCCGAAACATATCCGGAAGATGCGTCGCACCCAAGCTACAGTAGGAGGGCATAAGAGCAACGAAAAAAAAAAAAAAACAATCCAACCTATCCCAGGTAGAGATACCAGGGGCACTACTGTTTTGGTTCTCATTGATGAGATAAGCACCATAGTTTACTCGAAACGAGATCGGGCTGACACGTTGGACATAATTTGACACGACTTTTTCATGCAACTTTCCTCAAAACCTTTGATGTGCTTTCCCAAGACTTTCCAACATGATGTAACTAATGTTTCCCATGTGGTCACTATGCTTCAATTGAAGGTGATTCACAAACCTGCCACCCAAAACCCAGACTCATTGACTCTTTGCCCATCGAAGTCAGAGCCTGTGTGACAAGGTTCTGTACAGTGAAGGTGGGAATGGAAATGAAATGAACTCTATGCAGAACATCATAATATTTGCTTCTTTTCTGCAAAAAAAACTTACATGCACTGTCATGAACAAGAGACACAGATTGAAACCATCAATTGGATATCACTGGCGCAACTGCAGCGTTTCACACCACAGGAGGAACATGAAAAAAATACTTAAAAAAAAGTCTGCAAAATCTTAAGTGCAAATTGTTTGAATCCTTGACTCTTGTGGAAATTCTCCACATTCATCTGAAGTCCTAAAATTTCATTTCCAGCAGAGGCAAATTATACAGGGAAAGGAGCCCAGGAAAAAACTGGGAATTCAAAATTATGCACAGTATCACATGGAAAGTATTTATGACTATATAATGGAAGGATAGCCCTGGCTGCAGGAAACCTGCAGCCTTTTGCACTTGCAACTTGATTTTGCACTATGAATGGCAAGATGTGAGATTTCTGCAGTCAATAGCTCATGTTCAGGACCAGTGTTCTCAAAATTACTCCTTAGGCATGATGCAGTACATTTGGCCAACATCCTCAGTCACCAAAGGTGCAAAAAAGCCCAACTCTATCCAGAAAAATTCATCAATACATATAAAAACAGAATCAAATCTGCAAGAAAATTGCTTTCCATGAAAATAAATATGGGAGAAATGAAAAATATTTTTTTTTTCAGACCATCATACTGGGAAAAGAGACTGCTGCCAGACCATCATAAGGCCTACTAGAACCAATATCACAATCTCAATTAGTCTAGGTGGAAGTTGCTGTTCAGTCAATCATCAGATGGAAACAGAAAAAAATAGCAGAAACCTATCACAATTGAAAGAAAAACCATTATAAGGAGAGAAAGAAGGGAATATCTCTTGATTGCAAGGAAGGGTATTTTTTATAACAACACCTGAGCAGAATCATCGTCACGGGACAGCAAGTTTCCTCGGACTCAAGAATGACTTGGCGCAGAGATGTGAGGCAAAAAAGGCACATTTTCACAACCGGGAAATCACAGCATCCTCTGTGAGACACTTGACTTCATCACTAGCCCTTGCATGGATGCCATATACCAATTTGACTCCATTATTACTCCTAGATAATTTGGCTGGTTGAAATAGCAGAGAGTGCTTTCTCAGGGAACACCATGTCATGAAAGCTTTGACTGCTGACAACACCTATACCAGAAGAATTTCATGAAATACAGAAAATCAAGGGAGAGGAACTTGGGGAAAAGATAAAGAAAAAAACTAATGGACTGAGATGTGGTTGTGGGATCACAGAAGGATGCTGCGGACAGCTGCGTCGAGAGCAGGATCAGGTTCCCCGTTGCATGTGGGAGTGGGGGCAGCTTCCACTTTGTGGTTGCGTGCCAACCCATTCAATATGGGTAGGGACTCATAGTGGTCAACCCCACCCTTGTTACTCCGTGATACTTTGGGGTTCACTAGGGGCAAGTCACTCTTAAGCACATCACTCATCACCACCGAGCACGGTTTGATGACCGGCTGGGGCGAGGTTGCCAGATTTGCTTCGCTCTCTAATGATGTTCTCAAGTGGGGGAGATCAAGGTCCCAGTGATCAGGAGGTAGGGGCAGAGACAGAGCTGGCCAGAGGAAAGAAAAAAGATTTTCAAGGTGTCTAAAGACAGAACTAATAGCTCTTAAAAAATTTAACAGCAATTAGACAGAAACATTTGAAATCAATCAATGTCTTAAAGAGACACTGTATCTAAACTCAGAAGCATCTAAATGAGGAGGAAACATTCCAAGTATCCACCAATCAAAGAAAATAATTCAAGGCCTCAACTAAATGGAACACTGGGCAATGAGTGGTAAGAAACGTTAATCATTGCCGCTCGTAATTTCAGCTGCATTCTCTCTATTATACTTCATGAGAGTCCTTTTAAGAAAATCTTGATATTGAGTAATCAGCTCAATTTCATGCACTCAATGCAATCAATCACAAGACATGACCTGAAACAGTAGCTGTACAAAATTTTTTTATATTAGAAAGGTGCTAAAAAGTCCCATTTGTAGGGAAGATGATAAGTGACTCACATTCTCCTCTTTTGACCAGCTCTCGATCTTGTAACAGCCGTGTCTTCTCCTCAGAGTAAAAGGTACGTTCTAACATCACCTGCTCTGCTGATGGCACTTCCCTCTATAGAACCGGATGAAAATAATTAAATGACTACTACAAAAACTGGTCATCAAACCAATATAAAGAGGAACATGATTTTAAAATTCCCATAAACAGAGCACTGGAGTAAACAAAGAGCTTCATTCTAGCAGCTTTCATTGCTTCATCTCTTTCTTCCATCTCAGTCAGTTCCTAATTATGGGAAGTTGGTTTCCTGCACTTATTAAATATTACAACTCATAACTCATTACAAAAAAATAGGATATTAATTATAGCAACTCTTCAGATACCTGCTTCCACATTTATCTCAGATACCAGACAAAATGTTGGCCTTTCATAACTACCACCATGTTGACTTCCCTGATGCCAGGCCGATGAAAAACAGAAATTTTCCTGCAAGTTCAGAGACTAAAATGTATGCAGGATGCCATGAATTGGTCTTAAATGACTGCTTCCCCCAGTTTAGAGGGGATACTCTATTTCCCTGGCAAAGATACTGGTGCATCTTCATTAAATCTCTGGCCCAAGTGCAGCAATCATGGCAATGGAATTCAACTTGTCATGAGTCTTATTCCCATCTAATTTTCCTTTGCACCCTTACACAGCTCACATTAGGAAAAATGTAGCCAATCTTTCTGATCAGTTCTATCTATATAAACAACCCAAAAAACATTACTTTGTATTGTAACATTACAGTAGTCAAAATAAAAAAGTGAGCAAAATCACACAAGAACACAAATGAAGTTTTCAAATTATGTACCTGATGCCAACTAAACTGAGCTGAGAGGATTTTTTAAATGGAAGATCAAATAGAAACTAGCAAATATGATTTCTGAAAAGGAAAGACTGGTTACAGTAAAATTGCATTCATTCTGCTTTCAGTTTTCCTTATTATTTGAATTTTGGGAAATGTTTTCCTCTTAACCCCCCCGCAATATTTGAGTCTGTCTCAGTAAGAATCTCAGTCACTGAGTGACTTACCATGCTGTCCTTGAGGAGAAGGTATTGGTACTTGTTCAACATATACCGCATCTTGTTCATCAGGTACTGACATCGATCCTCAAAGCCATCTTTCTCAAGCTGAAGCATTTCAGAGCTGGGGAGGGGCTCATAGAAGACATGGTAAGGCATGAGTCGCTTCACCATGTCCTCCTTAGATCGCCAGGGTGTTTTACAGTCAGGGTTGTGAGCAGCAACCTCATCTGTCTTTAGCTGGCTCTCAAATCTGAAGAAAAAAAAAACAGATGCAATTTAGAATGTGCAACAAACAATTTTTTTGATGCCATGAAGAAAACCTGGATGAAACTTTAATCAATAAAATCTTGACATACATACTTTCTTGTACCACAATGCATTTGATTGTACATTAGACATCCTTGGTTGGGTATACTTTCCAAGGAGAAGAGAAGAGAAGAAGAACAATATTTAAATGCATGGCTTTCACTCACAGAAGTTGGCGTTCCTTGAGTGCCATAGAAACAGCTGGGCTTGAGACAGACTCTGTTTGAGTAGTCACCACAGGAGAGGAGGTGGCAACTACAGGAGAGAGGAGAATGGCAGGGATCTGCCGGGCCACACCAGAGATGATCATCTGCTGAGCCTGAGCATGGGCTGGAGTCGAAGTACTGATACTTCTTGTGCCCTGGCATGGGGTTTGTGCTTGTGGTTGAACTTGTGCCTGACACTGGGACTGCAGATGAGGGGAAAGCAGCATCCCACTTTGATCCTTGGACCCATTCCCTGTCACCTGCACCTGTACTTGAACCTAGGAATTGTATTCATGTATTTATAAGGCAGTGCTAATTAAAGGCATCAGGGAGAATTTGGATTTTTGAGGCATGACAATTCAAAAGACATAAATTTTCCTTACACAACCTACATCAACTCATCATGTCACAAGTCTCTCAAGTTGGTAAATGCAACTCAACTGAATATTTTTATTTGTCATCATTTAAAAGACCTCCATCCTGGTCATGAATGGACAAGAACAAGGAATGCTTATTTGACATGACTACACAGCTTTCCTCCCCTCTACCTTCTAGATTCAGTAGCCCATGAGGACAATAAAGATTAGAGAGAGTAAGGGATGGAAAAGGACCTGAGTAGTCAGAGTTGTTGTGCCTGACGATTGTGCCAAGTTGTAGATGGTAGCACCAGGGGCAGCAGTCGAGGCAGAGGTCGCAGGAGGTGAGGTTGCTGGGGAGGGAGCTGGTGCAATCTTCTGCAAAAGGGTTACCTTTGCAGTTTCACCCATCACAGATGCTGGTCCAGACCCAATCGACTGACCCACCTTCCCAGTGGATTGCTTCTGTTGTGGTGTGAGGGCAATGATCTGTGGACCCACTTGGTGCAAGTACCTCACAGGTGCAGAATTTGTACTGACTGATACCTAAGATAGCACAAGAATGTATTGGTGAAATACTCAATCAGAATTCTGGATGCTCCAAACACTCAATAGCTCTAGGATGCAGATGACATGAAGACTACACCACAACAACTGAAACACTCAAACATGGGAGGAAACCACTGGAAGTACTGAAGGACAAATCAACCAAATAGTATCTGTGAAATCAACAATACACCACCAAGAAGAGGGAAGATGCACAATGAATGTACTGCATATATGATTTACAGCAATTTTTTCTTGTAAATTTTCATATAAGTCAGCCCAAAGACACAACTGCAAGTTTCTACTTTCCTAAAGTTTCTAGGCCTTGCAAATCACTCACAAGGAAGCAAGAGTGAATTTCCAGAGAAAATGAAAGTAAAGAGAATTGAGTACTCAGTGGACTTACACAGGGCTGCTTGAGTAAGTTAGCCAAATGCTTATTGGCTGTAATGTTGGAAGGGGTGGGCAGAGAGCTTCGACTAGAGCCTTTGTTCGGCGGGCTTACAGACTCCTCACACGATGGCTACCAGGTCAAGCAAAATGAAAAATAAAAAAAGGGAAGGAAAAAATCCTCCAATCATGCATGAAACAGCCAACTATCCAACCAAGAAATAAAACGAAATTTATGTTTCATTCATCTACATAAGAAAAACAAAGCAGATTCAGTGGAGGAATACATGCGCAAAATGCCCAAGAATTTAAGGGAAATCAACAATAAATAATTTTCCACACACCATCAGCAATTGCATTCTGGATCACAAAAACTTGCAATACAATTAGTACATGATGAGATAAATACACCTAAAATTGAACACTGGTTACAAGGGGACTTTAAGTTTCATGAAGGATTCTTTGAATCAAGAAGGACATGATGGAGCATCTGACTTCTGGAAGTTGGGTACAGATACAAGTACTAACAAGAGAGAATGAGTGAGGCAAAGGAAGAAAGATATCTTGGGAGGTGAAGTGTCATCAAGGTCAAAACAGGTTAAATGATGGATTGGATTGCAAGAGGGAGACGTAAGTAATGATGAAAAAATTAAATGCTCTTCCAGCAAGTGATTTAAAGGTGTTGAGAAAATCATTTCAGCTTCCATCATTGATGAAGTACCATTTGCACTAAAAAAAAAAACCTAGAGATGGCAATGATGAGCAACAGTATGTGGCATTGGTACTCAGAGAAACTAGCTCAATCACTTCATCATATTCTATTGGTTTGATTGACCTGACTAAAAACACTAAGTTTCTTGAGGTGGATGATACTGCCAGTTAAATTCATTGTAGGAATGAAAGATCTCTAAGCTTGAAACTCTTCAGTACCTTCACAAATATACTATGAAAAGAACACTATGCAAACCTGCAGAATGGATTTGGATGAGTCATTTACTTGGGAAAGCGTGGCTCAGTCCCACGATGAGCTAATACATTAGTAAAGTTGAAGATGATTGCACTCACCAGAGCAACACCTTGAGCTTGAGGTCTGGGTATGGTGGGGATGGCCCATGAAACCTTGGAATCCCGAGGGTCCACAGGTCGGCCCTGGGCTAAGATGCGATTCTGTGCTGCAATCAGCTTCTCCAGCAACTGCTTCTGCATAGGACTCAAGCTCTTTTCCTGCTGTAACTTCAAGATTTGCGACTGCACAGCACGCAAGTTCTACAAGCACAAGACACCAAGATTCTGTGTTTTGGCAAAATAAGATCCAAGACTTTGACAGTTTTATTCCTCAGGCCAGATGTGAAATTGTTTTGATAGATGAGCAGAAAAAAATAATGCAACTTGAAGTCCTATAGGGTATTCCAAAAGTCACAATGCATTTCTAAAAAATCATAGCTTCCTTAATATTCATTGCATACAAATAATATCCTTAAATTATCAATATTTTTACAGAATCAAGAAAAACATTTACACTGTTCTGTGAGTTTCGGATCTGATAGAATTTAGTAGAGCAGGAACAAAGAAAAGGAGGATTCACAGAAGAGAATTTTAAACAAAATTGAAAATTTGTAATCTAACAATTCTACAGTTGAAATTGTTAAGCATAAAATGACAAACATAGCACAATATGGCCAATAAATCGATTTAAACATTTCATATTATTTAAATTTCAACCTGGAATGAAAACAACTGACATAAATTGAGAATTTCTCTTGGACTTTCCTGATATTGAAAAAAAAAAAATAAAAGTTTTTTAAAGCCTGAATGTTGATTTTCACTGAGTTAATGTAAAAAAAAAAACTAAATAAGATACATATTTAATACCTAGTCTGGACAGACCAGAGACTATATTATTTGCTTATGGGACTTCACTACTTTACAGTCCATTCTTACTAATGGGAGGGGGGTCATTGACAAAGAACTGATGAAGAGGTCTTTGTTCCTTGAAATTCTTATGATTGGCCTTATGAGTAATTACATACTAAATGGAAACAAAGTCTTTCAATGGATTGTTGAAATCCCTAGTCCATTGATACGGCAGAGATATGTTTACCAAGATTCATGTTAAGAGATGGGAATTTCATTTTGAAAATTTCCAATGTCAATGTTTGCATGGAACATCTCCAGTGTGTGGTCAGAAATGCAATTAAACCATGAATGAACAGACATCTCCAGGTCTGCAGTAGCAATCTTGAATTTACTTTCATGCTGTTTGATAAACTTAAATTCAACAGTTATTCTGACTAGCTCAAAAGAAGAATTATAGTCCTATAGAGTGGTTGGAAAAATAAACTCATAAACTTTGTATAAAAAGACAACTTGTGCACTGGGGACCTGTACCAATTTCCTTCTAAATCACTGTTTTCTAAATCAAAGGACAAATCACCATTAAATAATCCTTTTTATACTCAGAGTAACACTAGCTATTTTGATCAGTAGGATGATTTGCATAAATAAAAAAAAATGCCCAAAACCATATGGTGGTATTTCCAATTACATCTATTGATGCTATTGGATAGATATCAATTAAAAAAATTAAAATAATTTCATGAGCTTTACTCAATCAGGGCACAAAGTCAAGAGTTACAAACCAAAAACTAATTGTACACTTGGGCATACTTTTCAAACTTTATTTGAATGAAAATCTCTTTTAAGAGTAGTGGCACTATCCATGAAACACCAACAAGGGGGAGGTGAGCACTTCACACTGTTTTCAGATTAAATTGACACTTGCTACAAAGCATGGTTGTTGGATGGTCAGTGGAAATTGCCCTTTTGGGATGACCATTGAGGAGAATATATTCTTCAATTCTCTAGCCAACAAAATAAAATAAAGAAAACCATGGAAGGAAATTCTCCAATTCTTATGAGGTTATTCTTCTGATGTAAAATGGTGTGCTATCTTCAAACATCACTGCATGTCATCAAATATTACCTATTCGAAGACAATTGGAATTTGCTTGCCCCTTAGCAGCTCTGCAAATCATGACCTCTTACAGCAAATCAGATGACTTACAGCAATTTATCATCTGAAAACATCAGGGTGGGATGCATGAACGCCTTTTGTGTCCTAGTTTTCAGCCCTTCTCAGCATAAGAAGTCACAAGATCAATGCTGTAAAACACCTTTGACCTCACAGGGAAAGAACCAATTACTGCAGATACAGGAGTGATTCAGAAAAAATTTGGTCAGCTGCAGGTCAGCTGGCTATCTACTCTGCCTCCAGGGGTACTGGGTGGCCTCCATTATTCCCTTTTTCTTGTCCTCTAAGAAAAACCTTGGTTCTTTGCACTCATTTCTTAGATTCTCAATAATATTCCTTGTTAATTTATTTTATTTGTTGACTCTTCTGTATGCCATCACAAACTCATATGTCCTTGACAAAAATAATAACTCAATAGGAGAAGCAATTCATTGCATGTGAAATTCTCATAGTGGCAAGTATCAAGTCCCAAGCCTTGTACACAAGGGAGAAATAACCAAAACCATCTTGCTATCAAGCTCTACATAGTAATGAGATTGGCCCAAACTGAATTTGCACTGACCATTAGCTAGAGATTCAAACCCAGGCAACCATGCAGCAGTCCACAGATCATGAATGAGATCCACTAAGGATTCTACTAATACTTAACCTTCCATCTGTAATACGTCCTGCCTGCTCTTGGAAGTGCTCCTGGTGCTCCTTAATCTGAAAACAGTGAATGTTTCCCATATGCTAAAGTGGACTCCTTCTTGGGAGTCCATGCAACTCCTGGGGAAGACTTGCTAGGGCAGTAACTTAGGCACAATTTAACCTTAGTTGTGGGAACATTGCCTCTTTGAACAGCCAGATGGCTAGTTTGCAACTCATTCCTTTCACTGCACAGTTTTGACTTATAACTCTCAACATTGTCATTTGATTGAGTCATGCCCACAGGCATGTTCATCTTGATTATCAAGATCTACATAATTGCACCCATAATGCCAGTGGATGCAATCTGACTTTTTCATCTTCCAATAATATTTAAGTAAATAAATAAAATTATACACCAGAAAAAATATCCATCTCAAGAGAAGAACAATCCTGATGCCATGGAATATTATAACAGTTTATCTGCTAATGTGGTTATAGACACAGACATGCAGATGGATAACGAAAGTGCAATTTTCTGTGGTAGACAAGGCATTTTTTTCATATGTGTTATGTTTAACTACCATTTGCAAGTTTTCAGCTTACCCTGCTCCAGCATGAACTAGGAATATGTAAAAATTCATTTGCACACATTGAGTATTAACCCTTTGTGGTCCACTGGCGGATGTAGTCCAACAATCTCCATAGCATTAGAAATAAAATGGACTGCAAAGGGTTAAAGGAGATATTACATTTTCAGAAGTATGCATATGATTATTGCAATACTCAGCATATATAAGGGTAGGAATAATGTGCTTTCAAGGGTACTATAAGAGGCATTAAGTGACCAATCTTAGAAGCAGTGACTGAGGACCTGAGCAAGCATGCATAACAAACAAAAGCCAGAAGCTTAGTGCAGAAAAGCAGACTTGCCTGCTGATGTTCTTCACTAAGTTGGATTGCTTGGACCCGCTGACCAGGTTGAAGCACAAGCTGCCCTCCTGAATGTACGACGACACCAGAAGCAGGCTGACCATTACTCACGCTCACCGAGGAACTTGGAGACGTGGTCTGGATTAGTACCGGCTGCTGGTAAGGATTGGGAGAAGCTTCTGTGAAGTGTGGATTGCGAGGCAAAGCAATAGATGGAGACAATTTCAGAGTGTGTGCAGGAAAAGAGGAAGAAGCAGTGAATTTGCGGCTGCAAGGAAGGAGTGCTCCATCTGGCTGGACAACCACATTGGGAGAGGCATGCTGCTTCAGAGTCACCGGGTTAGTCACAGGGGAAGTGAGGGTGTTAGCAAGAAAAGGTTGGATGTGCAAAGTTTGGCTTACTTGTGGCTGTGCAGCCATCAGGGTCACTGCAGGCTCTGGTGCCTGTGTTTCCCCACTGCTGGCTGGACATATGGGCCGTTTTTTCTTTGCACTAGGATACGTGGTATTGTTCTTTTTCTGAAAAATGTGGTTCATTGTGGGCTCTGTTCTGGATGAACTTGAGGCTATCACAGTTGAATTGGAGATCACAGCCCTGCTGGAGCCTGCATTACTTGTGGTCGAGATGGCAATGTATGTTGGACAATTCCCTTTCCCAGGATTCTGAGATAATAGCACTGCATTGCCTGGAGTCTGAGCTGCCAGGGAGGGCATATTTTGTACTGAGACACCTGGTCTTGAAGAGGCTTGGATTGATGCTGCCTGGATACCGGGATTCTGGCTCTGGACCACACTGTCACTGCATGTAAACGGCACCAAACACTGCTGAGAGGGAAACGGTGTTGAGAAAATCACTTTCCCAGCCGAGGATAGGGAGACGCTTGCACCAGAGTTCTGATTGAGGATTGGTGTGGATGTCAAAGAGGGTAAGTGGTTGGTTCCAACCATTTCAGCATTCTACAAAAAATATAAAGAAATTGAGAATAAATGACAGCCAAACATCGAGCCTTTAACTAGTGCAAACTCACCACATGAGAATGTGGACCTGGAGGTTTGGCTAGACTAGCATGTTGGGAAGGATCTAGAGAACCAGGGATTAAAGAATCAGAGCGGAACACTTCTGGGCCACTTGCAGGTGGCATTAGGTCCTCAAGGAAGTCATCATCTCCAATTCCTGCTTCCCTCACGGCTTGCATCAATAGTTCATCTGGATTCAGCAGACTGGATGGCTTTGGACCTTCTACCTTCTTCTTTTTCTTCTTGGCCTTCTTCTTTGGCGGTGGCTTGTCAAGGTCACCCAGCGCCTCACCATTGGCCAACATGGCATTTATCACAGGAGGTCGATGCTTGCTCTGAGATCCCATTGCTGCAGCATCGACAGAGCCACTATTGTTGTGAAACACAGGGAGGCTAATACTGATGGAGTTTTGCACATGATGATTCACGGAAGAGGTGGCAACAGATGCAGACGTCCGAGTGACTGCAGGGCGCACAGCCGCAGCACTTTGGAGATTCAAAGTCTGACTGGGAGCAGGGATTGCCACAGTCATGATGCCATTTGGAGTCTGGATCTGCTGAAGCTGCATGGTGGTTCCCCCAATCTGTATTAAGGGGAGTGAGGAACGTACAGGCTGGTTCATTAGTTGAGGAATGATCAATGCCTGGCCTTGACTTGAAGCTGCCAAGGCTGTTGTTGTCCCTGGCAGCATCATTTGAGGCTGATCTGTAGTCTTTGGGGCTCCCAATTGCAAGGATGCAGCAGGCTACACAAGACATGAAATAAAAAAACCCTTCATTCCACCTGTTCCTGAACCAGAACTCCAGATAGAAGAATTTGACCAACACTGCACAATTCCAAAATGTACCCGTCTTACCTGTCCTTGCAATGGAAGTGTGAGCAGTTGACCCGCTTGGCTAACTTGAGGAGCAGCTGGGCGAAGTACGAATTGCATTCCTCCTGTTGGAGTTTGAATGAGCACAGGCTGAGAAAGGACCATTTGCTGATTCACAATAATGGGAGTTGGAGCAGATGTCACTTTTGCTGCACTTGGACCTGGTGAGGATGTTCGAGCAGCCTTGGAGCTTCCTTGGATCTTTGGCAAGATCTGCGGCTGTTTTGGTTGGATCATCCGGGGTACAGTCATAAGCTGAGCTCTTAATGTAGAACCAAAAATGGCTGGCTGCCCAGCTGTCGCCAGGATAGGCTGGGCAATACTCAGGATGGGAGCAGCATGAGGTAAAGAGACATGCTGTTGAGAATGCTGATTGTGTTGATCATTCAGATGATGTTGGGGCTGGAGTTGCTGCTGCTGCTGATGATGATGGTTTTGCTGCAACTTTTGAGGTCGCTGCTGTGACTGGGCCTGAGCTGGGATTGGGGAAGGTGCAGGACAGGGTGATGGCATTGGCCCATTCTGTGTAGAAGGAGATGGAATGGCTGGGCTAGGCAGGCGATGGTAAGGTGAAGGCGCTGAAGGAGAGGGGGAAGGATAAGGTGAAGGTGATGTTTGAGGGGGTGGAGCAGGGGAACGCATGTGACGGTGATTATTGACTGGAGGAGTGGAGGCTGGAGTTGTGGGAGAGATCTGGAAAGGATGGGAATGTGGACCCAAGTCCACATGGTCAGAGGATGCACCACGAAGAAGCTCTTCCAGTGCATCTTCAGGGGTTGTGCTGCTCACTGCATTCACTCCATCAAGAGAGCTTGAGAAATCTGCATCCCCCAGCAGTCGGGTAGCATCCACAGAAGATGTCACGTCCGATGACTGTGGTGAAGAGCATTTCTATATATGAATAAATAAAACAAATCAGGCCTAGAGTGCATTCACATGTCATAAAAATGAGGAATGGGCTCCCCCAAAATGAGTGCATGGGGAGGAAAATCCCTTGTTTAAAAAAATGGAATGCATGGCATTGTAAATGTTTCATGTTTGGCTGAAGCATGCAAGCAATTTTGGCCCATGATATTCCTGGTCTGGGATATTTCCTTTCTCTAATGAATAAAACAAAGGACTGGTAAAATGGGTCATATTATTTTGGATTAAAATACTGGATTCCTTCCATAAATACTGAGCAAAAAATGGGGGAAAAATAACACAACCTAAAAGTTCTTTCCTCCAAACAGGAGAGGAAAAATGGGAAGAGATGAAGCTTAAAGGATACAGCAAGAAACACAAAAACTATGTCTACTAGTTGCCTACAGATCAGGGGTGCACAACCTCCAGTCTGCAGGCTGTATTCAGCACAAAATGTGCCTTAGAGAACAATCATGTGCACCCCTGCTACAGACTGCCATGGCTCACACCTAGAAATGCCAGTAATCCAAATATATGAGGGCAGTAGCATTCAGTAAAAGAACAATAGGATCTCTTATTCTTCAACAAATATGAGTAAACCCTCATTATTCAAAACCAGTCCTTTAGCTGAAGACAAGTAGTACAGGGTGATGTATACTGAAAGTCTAGCCATGCATATTTTAAGAGCATTACAAAAACTCACTGAATCGCTCAGTCCCAAGAAAGTTTCCAATGCATGGGGATCACTGTAAAAAACAAACAAAAAACCAATGAAATGCAACTTCCTTCAAAGATCTAAGACAACTATGGTCAGTTACTTTAACAAGAGCTTAACTTAATTGCTCTGCTGCATTCATGAAATGGCCATCCATTCAATTAACCAACCAAAACTTTAATATGAGTGATGACAAAATGCAGTTATGTATATCAGTAATTCCGATTTAAATGTCTAAATGCAGCCTAAACTTCTAACTGAATCCATAAGAGGTCTCGAATAAATCTTTTAAAGATCAGATCTATCATGATATTTACTTCCATTACTGATCATAAAACTTCCATATGCTGATGTGAAAGTGTATTACTCACTTGAGAACATCTAGGAGAACTCTTCCTCCACCATCATCCATTGCAGTAAATCAAGTCTGCAGATGGGCCTATACAAAAACATAAATGGGAAAATCAGAATGGGAAGTCTTCAGTTGGGTTTACGATAAGACATACATATCAAGGAAGTTCCACTTACTGAAAACCATTGTCTGAGTGACGTGATCAGAGTGGTGCTTGTTTGTTCAGTTTCAAAGCCTTCAAGTTCCTAAGGAGTGCAATCTCAGGAACTTTACATCAAGGAATTCTATCCTCTAGGGCTTCAAAATCAACTGTCACATAAAGATGTTGGAAGATTAAGTTTTATTGGATGGAGTTCACATGGCTAATGGCATCATATTTAGGTCTATGTACCCTACACTTAGGCAATAAATAGAGATGGAAAGGTTAAATAATTCAAATATAACAGAAGTTTTAAAATCCCTAAGTGAAACTTTTTGTAAAAAGGCCATGGTAACTAGCATGAGGCTTTCAGAAACATGACAGATTGGATTGGAAAAGAAAAAATGGTAGATGTATGCTTGAGTTTGTAAGTGAAAGCAGACTGTAAAGTAAGTAAAATCCCACTTTCCCATTGACCCTCAATTACTCAAATACCTTACTGGGGCCTACAGGCTTGGCCTCATAAATTATATATACACATTGAAGATACTATATCAAATTGTCATAGCTAGATATTAGTCTTATAGCACAATAAAGACAAACTGTCCGACATTGGTAGATGACAGTTTCCCTGCATCCACCAGGTTCAGGTGGGATAAACTCAAGGTTCCCCCATCCTCAAATCACACCTACCACCCTCACAAACCTATCTGTACTTTTCAAGCCATCTATACAGTATCATTAAGCTGAAATTACCATTGCCTTCTAATGTAATGAATGTTTATTCCATTTTAGGCCTAACATCAATTACCAGACACTTGAACTCTGACACCCAATAGAAAACAGATCCCCATGATCAAGCAGGTGTGCTTGTAATAAAAACTACCAATCTGAAAGCAGGCCTTTTTAAAATAAAGCGATGCAAGTGGCAAAGCAATTTGATATCATAATCACATGGTCCTTCAATAAAAGTTTTGGCAAGGTTAGACAGATTGTTGTACCACAGGCTTCATATCTGAATTCAATTCCTGGTAAATTGCCAATCCCATGTGCAATAGCCCATCAGTTAAGTGCATCACCAGGCTAGCATGGTCCCAAAGGCACAAGCAGTACCTGGCAGTTCTTCAAGGGTTTAATACACTGCTAGAATGTAGATCTTGAATGTACAGGGCAAGTATCACTTTGAATATCAACTTAGACCATTTGCCTCTCCTGTTACATCTACATTAGTCTATACATACTGACCACAATAAGCCTAGACCAAATTAACCCCTGCATAATGACTAACATTCATACATGTGAGCTACATGGGGGAAAGAAAGCCAAGGTCCATCACAGGCCAATATTAGTAAAACCAGTCAAAAGCTAAGAGAAGTCAGTTCCTTAACTGGCACAGAAGAGGGCTCAAAGGCCTACTAATTTGATGAGGGGGGTTATGAGGACCATCATAAGAGTAGACTTCAGCAGACTGAGACTGTATTTGTTGAGACAAATAATGAACGAGGAATGTATTTAAGATAATAGTGTTTTTCACTTGAGTCAGATAATTTTTCTCTTGATTCAAACATCCAAGCACAAGTAAAATCCCATGCACAAGTGTCTAAGTCAAATGAAAAATTGCCTGACTCAAGTGAAAAACACTATAACGAAGATTCAATAACATGGACACATTTTTCCACTTAGGCTATAACAGTAGCACAAGAGGGAACCCTTTGAAGTTTTTTATTGTTTAAAAAGTGAAAAGGTGGAATAGGATAGGTATTTTCAGACCATGATAAATGCCACAAGTGGCTGAATACAGCAGAGGAAGGGGTATCCAAATTGGACATCAACAGCATCGCCACACCTTCCTATGCACAGTTCTTTAAAAAACAGACATAAAACAAAACACAGTACGGATGAAATAATACAAAAGTGAGAAATAAATTCATTTGGAATCATGTAAAAAAAAAAAAAACTTATGGGAGAAAGTTTGTACTTGATTAGAAATTACATTGTCAGAAATTAAACAGTAGGATGTATGCCATAAATCCCTGACATTGGCAGAAGCATGGATCAATGCAAGAGCTAAACTTTCATCAGTCTCAGTATGTCATCAATACTTTTAAATTTTGTGACAACTTTGGCACTGCTTCTCCACCAATAATAACCAATTATTATTCACCAACTATTTTTATTTTCGATTTGTAGCAGAAATAAAAATAAGTAATGAAATAGTTTTTTCCGCCAGAAAATAGTCTCCAGACCTACATTTCCCAACATTCCCTCATGCTGATCTGCTATGCTTAAAGGCAGCAGAAGAAAGCTCCCATTGACCAGCACATCAAAGAAACTTGATTGAGTGGGTCTCCAACGGGCCAAAAGATGACAATATCTCCTGCGGTTATCATTGTGATAGGCCTTTCATCCCCTAACCCACTAAGGGTCGAGAAACAATGGCCTAGAGTATACGAATATAGAAAACTGATGACACTATCTAACGTTAGGCTAAACCCTTCACCAGTCACGTTACTGCACGCAAAGGACCGAGTTCTGCTCTATGCTATATTGCAACCTTTGCGAAATTAAATCACGGAAATACACTTTTAAAAAAACATCCAGGAGCGAGGTTAGGCCTAGGGCAAGGGGTTAACAGGGTCAAGGAACCATAAAAGCAATTTGACTAGCAGGAAGGATATTTTTGACCTCTGCGGTTGACACAATCACACCATAAAAGCACTTGATAAAATATATCTGTTGAGATGTCGTGCTGAGCGCTGTCATGCGGTGAGCACCATATATCGATGAGCGTGCGCAGCAGCACTACTTCCACCTTCCACACCCCAAGTTTCAAGTGGCAGGAGAGAGAGAGAGAGAGGAGGGCTCATTGTGTATTGATTCGCTTAGGGCAAGGTCTGTGATAATCCAGGGTGAGCCCCGGCGCACACTCGACAACAGAGAGCAGCATGAGAGAGCAGCCGCGTTCCTCATCCCTAGCCTCCACACAGGGGGTCTGATGAAAGAGGGGGGGGGAAAAAAGGAGCCCGCTCCTGAGCAGCTGCATCGTTCACCGTGTGCCTCTCATCTTCGGCTTTCAGCTGTCTTTTCACTCTCTCTTTCTCTCTGTCCCATTCTGGGAGAAAGGCATTTCATTTCTTTCACTTTCCCGTACATCGTTTTCAACATTCGAAATTCAATGAATCCTGGTGGATTTATGATGATGTGATGATGCATATTTAAAAATATGCAGAAAGTGACTGAAGTCATAAAATTAAGAGAAATCATGCGAAATGACGTCCGATTGACGAGAAGAACTACTACAGTCCCAACAACGAACCAAGTCGTATTTCCTTCTCCCACTACGCCCCGCCCCTCTTGTAATTTGGAGAATGTGGGTTGGGCCCTGGCGGAGCTAGATTTTCCAAAAGCCCGCCCCTCCCATTGGTTGAGCGTCAGTAGAAACTGGCTGACGTCATCTCCCACTCGAGTAGGCAACACACGATAGAAACGCTAGATTAATCCCACAGCCACGTGGAGGCCTCACCACGTGCAAAACTCGCCTGCATCTCACGCCATACCCTTCACACCTCATTCAGAAGCCGGTATGGGTGCAATAACGCATGTGACGCAACATGCATAATCAATGTTAGTTCCACTTTCAGATAAACCAGGTTGCAGAGGCAGTTTTACATAAATCTCTAATGCTCTGGTGCCTGGTGTGGCAAGTGTCCTGAGGTAACTTACTTTTCTATTTTTCTGTAAAAAAAAAAATTAAAAATACAAAAATCCGAAATTGCACTTACTTCTCCAGAAAGGCTAAACACAACTTCCAGTCAAGATAATAGATAGCGACTTCACTTCAATTTCGGGAAAATTAGTTTACATTCAACGTGTCAGGAAGCTCTATGATTCTCTAGAATGGAGAGAGATAGAGTAAGAAGCAGGTTTACATGAGAATGACGAGGTCATAACAAGCGCGCCGTGTCGCGATCACTTAGCCTAATGAAGTGCGATCGAAGCCACCAGGTAGCATGAACAAACTTAGCGGGAATGAATGAGGAAGAGGACGTCATGGGTCCCACCACGTGGTTCTCATTATATCCGACGTTTATCACGGCCGAATTCCAGGACACAAACGGCACACCAATCGACATTTCACTGCTCACGCTAGACTCTCCCCAGGCCCCTGTCTGACTCCATACGACGACCCGTTTCCCTCCCACCTAATTTTCGCGCCGACAACCTATGTTCTCTTCCTCGGCCCCTCCTTCTTCTTCCACGCTACCAAATCGAATCCTATGCCTCTATAAAAGAACCCGGTAGGACTAGGAGGCTTCTTTACCAACGTGGTCAATTAACAGGCAAATGATCTCACGTCTTCGCGAAAATAAAAAACGCCTCTAATATCCAAGTATCCGGGATCACAAAGCGAGTCGCCCCGGTGCCCTTGAGAGAACACTCATGACACGACATATGTCTCACCGTCTCCATTTCGTGGCTCGTCTGGGCGACTTGATACATGTCATATCAGGTTAATGGATCTTCAATGTAATTAACGCGGAGAATAGCTACAGTACATAACAACGCATCATCATACGCAGGATGGAGGCTGTCATCTGCACGGGACACGTCCATAGGTCAGGCGTTATGTGATAGGGGGTAAAACGTGGTCTGGGGGGTTTCCCAGACGGAAAATGAGAAACCACACTGGATTTCAGTATAATAAACACACCTAAGGCACAGACTCAATATCCGCATCACGAAGATTAGACCAATGGCGTCGAGGGTCTGGGCTAAGTTGCGAATCGCTTCGTCCAATGAACGGCAGAGATAGGATCCGCGCATGCGTCCTCTCCACTCTCCCATTCACTGGCTTCGCACTCCCTCTCTCCCCTTCCACCAGAATGAGAAAACAGTCTGCTGTAGGCTTTAGCCTGGCCCTGCAGCATGTGCCCACGCTCAATCCGTTAAGGTCTGCAGTCTGGTGGAAAGGAAAAACACTTTCACTTCCCAACCTCAAACCCCTGGATCATCAACTTCCACCCATAAATCATCCATATTTATTGACTGGATGAAACATATTATTCAATTTCTCTGGTGATCATGTAGAATTAGCTTGTCATAAGTCGAGTCGTGATCAAAGGCACTTGCAAAATCCCTGCTGAAAGACTTTGAGTCAAGATTCTCTTATTCCAAGTGAGGAGAAGTAAACAACAGAGTTCAAACATCTTCATTACTGGGTAAAAAATACCCAGCCAAGTAAGTGAATAGCAAAACATGCACATGATTTCAAGGGCTTTATTTGCTCTGGCATACATTATGCATTTGTGACTAGAATATTCATCAATTCAAAGCAAGCCGTAAGTACTTAGATATAAAACTCTTTCAATGGATAAAAGGGACATACATAGTTCTTGATATCCCAAAGCTAAGGAGGTCAAGTGAATTTGGAAAAGCCTCATGACATGCTGTGGAAGGAATTTGGCAAGAATTCCAAATGAGGGAATGAAGTAGATTGGTCTGCAATAATGATCACAAACAGCCAGCGGATTCTTGTAAAAAAAAATTTCTGGATACCATAAATTGTGCAAAGAGCCTATTTCACTATTCCTTTTTATGCTGCAGGCATGGAGTAGCTCTACCACTTAGGATTGGAACAAAGACTTTTTCACTGAATATACTTCAGCATCAATGCCAAACCATTCCACACCCAAACATGTAATACAGCAGCAAGTTGACACATGATATGGTACTCCTCACCATATATAATTAGAAACTGTGTATTTATCATGAGACTTTGAAGGGTCAACAAATTTTGCAACCATAAAACAGTCTTCCATACAATTAAGCTTGACTAATAGCTACAGTGATCATGGGGAACCACAGCCACCAGAGTGCCTCATGAGTTCTGAGATCAGCAGTGCCACACAGGGTTTCTTCCTGTTAATAAATACAGCAGTCATCACCAGGATGGAAAACTTGCCAAGGATGTGCACTTCTGAGAGGGGGCTCAATCTTTAGTTCATCAGTGCATCACACACTTGTACTATCACAAGGGGTAGCTGGGGATCCCCCGGATCCACCCTTCCGTCTGTCAGTAGGGTGTCCGTGTTGTGACGCTGACCATCTCAGAGTTCCTGTATAGATAAGAAGAAAAAAAAGATACGCAGGTGACATACCACTACGATGCATTTTGGGAGAGAATTTTGTCCAAAAATAATTCACTACCGTTTCCCATATCTGATATGTATGATGAGGAACACAACACCAAAAAGGATGCAAAGAGAGCCGATGACAATATAAGTGATTCCAAGAAATGGATTCTTTCCACCCAGGAGAGAGGTCGTTGAGAGAATCATGTGCTTTGTTCCATCAAACTCAGTTACAGGGTATCCTACAATAGAGATAATAAGCATAGCAACAGTATGTGGCTTTGAACATAACTATCACAGCAACTTTATATATACAGAAAGTACTTACTGTATGTCACCTCCAGGGTATAGTTTCCTTCTGGAAGGCCTGATCTGAAATTGTCTTGATCACTGTCAATGATACCATAGAGCTTACGGAAATCAGGGAAAGCTGCTGTGCGCATCCAGACAATGAGAGCTTCATTTTCAAAGCCATTGTTTCCCTTATTAACTAGATCCAATTCATAGACAGGTTTTGACCAGTATGGGGGCTTTTCTGTCCCATTGAAGGCTGTGCAAGGAAGGAAATGCATGCAATGAGACCATCACATCTGACTGGTAGCAATATAGGTACATTTTTACTGACACTCACCATCTGCAAGATTGGTTCCACTGGGATTTTTGAACTTCAGTCGCTTGTCAGATGGCCACGCAATACCAGTATTCATAATGGTTACAAGTAGCAGCTCACTGTTCAGATGGAACTTCAGCGTAAATGTATCTGCAACAAATTTCTCTAATTGAAATCCCATATTCAATGATGATCATATAAATGAAAAAAGTGGAGACAGAAGGAAACCAAGAATCTATTGTATTACAAGCATAATTAAAGAAAATACATTCCTCGATTTATACCTCTTAAATTGGCAGTTCATCTCTCAAAGGAGATTTCAGGACTTCTTCACATTCATTTTTGTACTCTTGTAAATCAAAGTATGCATATTTATGAATACAATAATTAAAAAAACCAGGGTCTTAGAATGGACAGAACAATAGACTGGGGTGAGAAAAATTGAAACAACTCAAAAAAATAAAACATTTTCAGAATAAATTAAAAACAATTCAATAAAATTCTTTCCCTTTCCATTCATTATTTTCGAATCTGACATGGATTGCACACTTGAGATATCCTGACCAGACATCAACCCTGCCAATACAGAAAGATCAAGTTTGAAAGGGCAAAAAAATTGTAATAGAGCACTGTTAAAAATTGTCATATTGAAAAATGTTGTGCAAAGTGTCTTTCCTCATAAGAGCTTTAATGTAAAACCCATATTTTTCCATTACTGGATACATAGCTACAATAAATTCAAGCTGTAGAAATTTGTCTTCAGCCACCAACAAGCTGCCATGAAAACTTTTCTTGTCAATGCTAATAATAGGATTTCCTTCCATTCCTGAAAACATTTTGCTTGAAAGGAGCAAAACTCCACAGTTCTGAACATAGTGTATCATTTTTGCAGAATATGGGTGGCTAGAATATAAAAATTACACAACATAGAGCTAACAAAACCAAACAATTTCAAAAGTTCTGATGCCTTCATGAAAAACAGACCAGGAACCCAAGTTACAGCTTCATGGCTCAAATTCTGATGATCAAAAGTGGGCTCCTCCAAATTTAATCAGTTTCAATGACTCAGACTTTCAATCTCACCATTGAAGATGCTGTTGGCTATTGCACCACATGGGGCAATTGCCTTCTGCCCTTTCTTTCCAAAAGGTTCACAATCTCCTGTGTTGTTATCTAGATGACCCAGAAGCTGCAGGTCACTGCGAGACTTCACATAACGTCGGTGATTCTGATAGAAATTTGTCAGTCCATAATACATGAAGATTTTTCCCTGGAAACACACAAGATCAGCATCATCATTACAGTGACACTAAGAAAACTTTCAGTAAAGATAGATCAATCCTGTTCTCACCTTCCATGCAGAAGTGATGCTGAAATTAATCATGCATTTGCATTCTGTTCCTTTCCCAGGCCCAATATTTTCTGCACAAGACTTTGCTGTGTTTGCAATGTCTGTACAGTTGGTGTAGTCATGCCGGAATTCCATCACCTACAAGGGGAAAACATTCCCTACTAATACCCATGCCAGACATTTCTAACATTGTAAAAATATTACAATGAATATTTACATCATTAGAAAAATAGAGGAGTCCAACTCCAATTGGCACAAAAGCAACTCCGATGACAAAGAATGCAGGCAACACAGTGCCAGCAGTCAGAATGGGCTGCCAGGCTGGCAGTCGTTGCTGTTTGAATGCACTACCTATAAAATAAAATGAGACAATATAAACAAACATAATTAGTTATGAAAGATAACATCTTCAGCCAAGTTAGCCTAGCCACACACATGCTAACATTACTCACTAGAAGGCTTCTTGCTTTTGCTGGTCTCAGGGGGAAGTTGACTTGCCATCGTAGGTCCTAGAACTGGTGATGATGAGAAGTCTAATTCACAGCAGCTAGAGGCCCAACCTCAAAATGCAAATTACCACTGCATCACCTAAGGCACTTCAGAAAACTAAAATATTAAACCACCATACTTCAGATCATAAAGATATCGAGGACAGAACATGACAGCATGGGAGTCCAAAAGGGAATGATTGAGCACTTTATTATGGGCAATATGAAAGCATCAGAATGTTACACAGGTGCATGCTGGGAAAATGTTACTTGACCCAAAGATAGAAAATAAAAAAATCTCCATCAGTATCTTGGGTGCTCCAAGGGAAACTTTTACAAGGCCATTTTTCAATTCTCAACATGTGTCTAAGTTTTGATTTATGTTGATTCGGGTCTTACAGCATTTTCCCGGCAAACAGGAAGAACCTTTGATCAAGACACAGGGCTATATCAACCTCCAATGGTCCTGATCCTTTCTGAACAGAAAATCACATCTGTTATGAAAGGGTTATGGCACCCAGCATCTGTCCTAAACTCAGGACAATGACAGACCCAAAGGACTATGAATGTGTAAAGGACTGCAAAGGGCCCACATTTCAACAGTGATACATCAGGATCTATTCATTTTCTTCACTGCGCAATTTGGCATTTGCATTAGTGACCTTGATGGAAAGCTCATTAGCCCTCTCCACAATGGCTTTCCTCTTCCTGGATGATACACCATGAGCAATCTCTGCACAGTATTTCTTGTTTTGCATTAGCAGGACCTCCAACTCCTGAAATTTAACAAAAAAAACAAAGTTTTCAATTCCACATGCTTCTCTTATATTCAATAGTGAACACTTTATTTCAAATCTCAATCTTGCATGAAATAAGCTCCCAAATAGAAAGATCAAACATGGCTGTTATATGTGTCATATGTACTACAAAATTATACTTCATGGGAAGACTGTCAATAAATTACACATACCTAGACACATAGTTTGTATACAAGAAGTGGCTGGTATGGGGAATGGGCTCCTTCATACCTGATTATGTATTTGGTTGAAGTACATGGGATTCTTATTAAGGACTTGATTGGTGCATAGGTGAATAACAGGTCAAGCTGAACCCAAAAATTTAATCAGATTCCTCCATCAATTATTCTATTGCCATTTTTACTATGCATAAAAATTTAAAACGTATTTAGCAAGAAAAAGGGCTTGTCTCACCTTCTCTGACATTCTTATTAAGAATGGTGTTGGTTGCTTTGCTTTGAGGAACCTACTTCAAATTCAAATTACAAGGAAATTTGATCCAAAGGCCAGACTTTAGACTTATTTAATATATCAGAGCCAATGTGCAACTGAGAGTTTCAAGAAAACTGATATATACTTGCTTCAAAAACCATTTTGAGACTGTATGGACAACCTTAAAGGAGTATTCATAATTCAAATGACATCTGAAAACAAGGCCACCTTCATTAATATTCATTAACTTCTGATCTAAAAAAAAATCAACTCAAAATTGTGGAAATCTAATCATGCCACCTTATAGCTGAAGAATAGTGATGTACTGAATTGAGCTTAGGCAAGATAAGAAGTATCCTATGATGCGTATCCATCTACACATATAGCAAGACAATTGTGTTCACAAACCATCTCTCTTTTTTACAAGCAATCTTGTCAGCTTCATTGTTGACTGCCTCACTTTCTATCCAACAAGAACGAGGAAGGCATTGTTGGAAGATTACTAGTGCCTTCAGTCTGAATAAGTGCAGTTCTATGAAAATCTAGCTACTTTGAAGACAAATGAAGTTTTCCTTGGAATCACAGTAACATGTAATGTGCAGGCAACTAAATAAAAAAAAGTAGCATTACAAAAGTAGTCTAGCTAGTACAGTAAGGGAAAAGAGATGGAGACAAAAAGATTGAAATTGCAGGTGGGAAAGCATCTTGGTAGATATGTGCACTTTCTTGAGCATCATTTCCCCATATTATAAAAAGTTGCCTCCATATTTATTCCTGTTCTGATGAGCTGGCTTCCTTCATTGGAAAAAATGGGAATCTCCAAGGCTGATTTGAGAATGTCACCTAATGGGAGAGGCAGTCCCTTCCTTCCCCTCAACTCCCCTTATTTCCAGATGAGAGCATTTTCCATTGTGGAATTATTAATCAAAGCTGCTCATAAATGTATCAAAATCATTGGAAGAATACCTTGATTTTCTTATATTCACACTTCAGATCCACACAATATAACTTAAAAACAGGGAGAACCTCAAGTGTAATTTATTTTCAGCCCAATTCAATTAATGGGACATTACCATGTCAATTAACTGAAGCGTATGATAGTGTTTCTTAAATGCACCCAAATTGCTTAAAGTTCATTAGGAGAACATTAGGCTTCCAGGTGTTCATTATATGGCTTTGAGATCATTATATTTATTAATGAGAAAGCTTATCATGAAACCAACCTTCACATTGTGTATCAGGAAGACCCTGAACCCATCGCGGAGCATGTGCCTTGTATGACGATTGCTTCCATAGCCAATCTTGGGCATAAGGTATTGGCCTTTGAATTTTCGACGAACTCTGTTGTCAATACCTCTGGGTTTTCTCCAGTTTCGCTGCAAGAAGTACACGCCAAAGTAAAGCGAAGCATATCAGTTGATTCTAGGCCCGTGCAGTCTTATTCACAGAAAAAGCCTACGCTGGCGCCTATGTGATGAGGTAAACCAAGTTACTTCATTGAGCTATGAGGCAAGGCAGGTTACAGTTTAGCAAAGACCAAGGACTTTTATGACTAAAGTTCTGTTATAAGTAGTAACAGTGGGACGGGTTATGATGAGTTTACCTTGAGCTTGTCATAACGATCACTTTGATGCCTAGTGAACTTCTTCGTTCGCTTCTTGACGATTTTAGGTCTGAAACCAGCAACGATCCCCATGTTTCTGGATGATTTCACTCACCTAATGGGTTATAAGTGAGATGCAGCTAAGACATCCAGCAATTAGCGATAAATCTCAAATACAATTGGAAAAAACGTGACGAGAAACTTACTACCTCTCACGCAGTAATGGGAGAGTATTGAGCGGAGGAGGACGACGAGGCACCAGTGCTGCCAAAAGGCAAAGCCGATATTTATTCTTTCTTTTTTTTTTTTCTTTCCGTCAGCTAATGTATGAAATGACTGGAGTCTGATGATAGTAATTCATTTTAAAATGCTCTAGGTCATTTTTAGAAAGCCGCATCCAGTAATCAATTTTGCTCAGCTTACTTGCGGTTCATCAGGTGGGAAGGTGGGAAAAACGTGCCATCGGCAAATCATATGAGTAGCCATGCAACCATGGATTTTGTGACCATGAGTCCATTGTCTCTCACGTGGCATCATTGCCTGCATTGTACTGCTCATGATTAACTCTCTCACACCCTTTGAAAGTGAAGGAGGAAGTGTTTGGAGGGAATTTTCTTGGTTTCAAAATGACCACAGTTTTTACTTTCAATCTGAATCACAAGATTCTACCGGGCAAAGTGACTCTGGGTTGCTATGACGGGAAGCATCCTTGCCTCACGGCAGCCACCACAGCAGAAAAGGTTTCAATTTTGAGCATTGCCAGAGATTGAACTCACAATAAGCGGTTGTTCTCATCTTCCCCACCTGATGATCTTTCCCCACACCCAGGTCCTGATCCACAATCCTCATCATACTTTCAATTTGGAGGGGGACCGAGTGACGCAGAGCTCTTCCCATCAAGATATAAGTCTACTGAACATCAATCAGAGTGTGAAGGCCATTTGTGCCGGGAGGCTTGCACCTTTCCATATGGGAGACGTACTAATAGTGGGCACCCCAACGAGTGTGCTTGCTTACAACGTGCTGGACAATTCAGACATCTTTTACAAGGAGGTAAGCCAAACTTATTGCCGTTAAAATCTTTAGATGTTTCTGCAGATATGTGTCCCGTTAATTTTTTCGTTTCAGTTGAATTCAATGCCTTTTCACTTGGATCTGAATTGCATGCATGGGAAAAGTCACAGACAGGTATTTGAGTCATCTGAAAGTGTGCTGCACATGACTGAATAGAGACTTGCAAGGTGCAAGACATCCCATAAACCTGTAATAAACAAACATCCAAAGATGCAGTATATGAAGTGACCCAGAATGCACCAGAACTGATTTCCAATACCTTCTTGTTGGCATGCCCTTCTGGAAAAGAAGGCAACATGATCTCTAGAGTTCTTGTTGCCTTATTTCCTTTCTTCTGCCTGCATTTCTTTTTCTTTTCTTTTTGCCTTCTTTGAAAGATAGAGCTCTATCTATCCATTTTATTATTATAAACATCTTTAGGGTGGTTAAAAAAGAAACCTCTACTGTTTTCTGTGGGAAAAACACAGTTTCATAAATGTAGCAAAAAAAATTACATTGGATATGCGATCGATATTTTTGACAGTTACAAGGTGCTGAAATGATTGCAAGCGTTTTTTCAGTACCCCTGCCTAAGTCATGCAATGCCCCTTTAGAGGTGAATTAAAAGTGCTTAGAGGTGTATCATTCCACCCCAAGTGAGGTGAATAGCTGTGCTTGACCATCTCAGAATTCAATGAATTTTTCAACTTTCAAGGGAGAGTTAGATCCAGCTGATACTTGACAGAGAAGTTCATGAGTCAAAGATGTTTTTTCACTTCCACAGGAGGGCACTGTATCCCAATAGAGGCTGCTGCTGTTAACAATGTGATTGAGGGTGATTAAATAAAGGCTCCACTGTTTTTAAAGGGGAGAAATTAAGATTCGTGTATTTGAGTAAAATATATGAGATTCATAAACTCTTGATGCTGGACATATAGGTGTTGAAAATATTGTCTTGTTTTTTTTTCTGAACAATTTTATGAACCATGTATTGTCCTGTTTCACAGTTTACAGGTGTAGCATTAAACCTTTTTTAAAATCATCCTCAGTCACCCAGTCAACCACAACACCCTCTATTGGGTTACATTGCCATCTTGCATAAATGAAAAAAACCTCTTAGACTCATGAGCCTCTCAGATTCAGGAGTGTCTTCCAATGTTCCTAACTCTGGACTAAGGCTCAAACTCAACAGGTAGTATGCTGGTCTTTGAGTATGAAATTTAATGATGATATCATTCCTCCTTGCATAAGATATCCAGCCTTTCTGAAGAGATACTTTGTGGGAGTCTCTTTGGTCTAAATGACTAGTCCAAGTACATGAATATTTTAATATATTGTAGGCTTTATCTATAAACTCTAAGCCCAGGCATTTACTAAATGTATTCTGTTACTGACCAATATTGCTAGCAGTGGGGTGCTTTGTGCCAGATGCTGCTACTACCCTGGAACATACTTCCTGTATGGCTTCATTTGTCATCTGTATTCATCCATCAGTCAAAGAATAAAAAAATAGCTTCCAGTTGATTAATTATGCATTGACCAGGCATTGCAAAATTCTAACAAGACTTCCCTTCAAATGTGTGGCTGTCACCACAATGGAAAGGAGCATGGTCTTCTATTCTGCTACATTTTACTCAGTAACTGCACCTGCTCTGACCAGTTTTTTATTGTCACCTTTTTTTTTAGGATTCACTTTTGAGCTTTGCTTCTTCATGTTGGTTTTTCATGTCATGTCATGTCAACAAAAATAATTCCATGCAAAAAGACTTCTCACCAATCTTTTCCCTCATAGGTTCCAGAAGGTGTCAATGCTGCAACAATGGGGCGACTTGGGGAAATTCCTGACCTTTTGGCTATTGTGGGTGGGAATTGTGTCCTTCAGGCATTCAATTTTCAAGGCAATGATCAATTCTGGACTGTCACTGGGGAGAATGTCTGCTCGTTGGCCCTTGTGGACTTTGACGGAGATGGAACAGATGAGGTAGGACTACGTGGCCAACTATATGGCTTTCTGTACCTTTCTCATCCAAACTTGAGTTGGATTACAGAGCTTTGTATTCTTGAGAAAGGTAATCATGCATCTTCCTTTGAAGCTACTAGTTGGTTCTGAAGACTATGACATTCGAGCATTCAAAGAAGATAATGTCATGGCTGAGATCACAGAAACTGAAGCAGTGACTAAGTTGGCACGGCTGAGTGAAACTCGCTTTGCGTACTCCCTAGCTAATGGGACAGTTGGGGTGTATGACAGGATGACACGATGCTGGCGAATCAAAGTGAGTTTCTTGTGTACCTAATTTCTGTTTCACCCCATAAGCATCAAACGAGATGATAGTAAGTAAAATGTTGACATTGAAATGGCACAGATGCAAGCCAAAGGTTATGAAAAAGGCTTATGGACTTGATTGCTATTGGTGCATGATCTCTTATGTCCTGTACTTTTTTGGCATACTTACTCAAGTAATGAAATGGAGAGCAAGAAATTGAAAATCGATCTTCCCTTGCATTTGGATGCCTGTAGTGGTGATGAAATTGAGCTCTGGATTGTCATCCTCTTCTTTGTTGTAGTTGGCTCTGAAGCCAGATACCATGCATTGATGTACTTTGCTACTGATTGGCTGAGGTGTACAACCCTGTCCATGATCTGCTTTAAGTTGCTATGCAGGCTGCCAAGGGGATGATCTTACTTTTTCAGTCTGTCTCATGTCATTACTGAGTTGAGTACTTTTGCAAAGGTTGTCATCACTTTATGCAAAAATGGTTCAAAGTAGTGGGCTGTAGGTAGACATGATTCCTTGTTTAGGTGATGGTTATGACCTTGGGTGTTCATTGCCTTTGCAATTTTGAACATTCCTCTTTTGGGCATAAATGCATGTCATAATCATGTATCAAAATGGATGAATGGGGCTCTATGTTCATTATGAACAATTGCTTGGGTCTTGCATGAGCTTCCTTTTGAGTCATAATCTGGCTGCTTAATGTCTATTATTGCCATAGAAACTTGAGAGATAAAGCTGAAGAGAACATTTCATTGACATGTGAAGACCATTGATATTCAAATTAAGTAGGCTGTACTGTTACCTATATAATGATATACAATTATCCTGGTAACTCCCTCGCTTTTAGTGACTTTTTTTTCCATCATGTACTCCACTAATTATTTTAATCATGATCTGCAGTCCAAGAATCAGGTTGTGGCCATTCTTGGCTTTGACATCAATGGGGATGGGGAGCTGGAATTAATCACAGGATGGAGCAATGGAAAAATTGATGCTCGCAATCAACGTTCAGGGGAAGTGGTCTTCAAGGATCATCTCAGCTCTTCAGTTGCAGGGATTGTTGATGCAGATTATAGACAGGATGGGAAGCGACAGCTGCTTGTTGTTTCTGTGGATGGAGAAGGTTTGCTTGCATGATTGAATTCACTAGTAAATTTGGGATTTGATAACCTGTGAATTCAAGTCCTGTTATTTAGTCAGAGGTTATGAAGCTGGAGACATCCAGAGTCAAGCAAGGGCAATGATGACCATGAACTTGGAGCAAGAGACTTTACGTGAGCTGAACCAAAGAAGACAGCAGCTTCTCTTGGAATTGAGAAATTATGAAGCCAATACACGTATTGGAAGCAGTGATGCTTCTTCCCAAGCACATTCAAATCAAGATATTGGGATGATACCGGTATTCTGTGCTTTGTGTTTCCTTATTCTGCACAAAACATGCATGGCTGTGCACCTTGCACTCTGCATGCTTGGTAAGTTCTTCCCTTGTATTGTGCTAGCTGTAGAGCCATACCGAGGATATTTGGCACCCTGTGCGAGATTTCCCCCACCCCCTCATGCGAGACATCAATCCAACCCCCCCCCCCATACCTCTCCAGCTTCCCCAGCACCAACAATAAACTGCATATTAATTTCTATTTTAAATTTAGTTAAGTTCAGTGTTAATTTGCAATTTTTAGAAAGTTTCATTCATATTTTGTTGTGATTTGGCAGCCAACCGGTGCCCTGTGTAGGCATACTGCTCACAGCTCCCTTGGTGTGGTTCTGGCTAGCTATAATACATAAATTAAGCAGATTCCATATTGCTAAATTTCATCTTCATTTTCAGGCAAACACACAGTTGCAGACTGGTCTAGCCATAAACATGGGTGGAAATGGAAAGAAGGTCAGGTGATACCTTTCTCTTTTGCAAAAAGTAAAACAGAAGTTTGAAAGTTTCATTTCTTGATAGGCTCATGTGGAATTGGCACTTCAAACAACAAATGATACAATCCTTCGATGTGTCATGGTCTTTGGAGAGGGTGTCTTTGAAGGAGAAAGCCATGTTGTTCATCCTAAGTTGAGGGAACTCTCGTCAGAGTTGCGTGTCCCTCTATTCCCTCCCAGGGATGTTCCTATTGATCTTCACATCAAGGTATCCCTTGTCTTCTGTCATATTACATCTTGACATGTGTTGATTTCATGAAGGCTGTATTGCTTTTCAGGCACTTGTGGGGAGCAGGACAGGCCAGCACTATCATGTCTTTGAATTGACCAGACAGCTCCCACGATTTGCTACCTATGCTCCTGTTGATCCTCTATCAGCACCTGAACCACATGGAAAGGCCACTTTTCTTCTCCATGAACGACTCCCTCGTGTATTTTCCTCATTGATAATTAAACCCTCACTTTTTTAACACACACTTTTTGAGTCTTTAGAAGATTTTTGTTTTTCCCCAAAAGATTGCAATGTGGCTGAACCAGACCTTCTTGTTTCCGGCGGAAATAATTGCTTCACCGGGTCAAGTACTTGAGAAGCATTTTCTTGGACTTCGCACTTCCTTACCTCTCATTCTTCGTATTGGGATTGATGGAAAGGCTGAGGTTCTGACTGATGATATGGACATTGCTGGGGATGTGATACAGTCTCTGGCCAGTTTCCTCAATCTGGAAGATCTTCAGGTTGTGTCCCTTGCATTTTACCCAGAGTTGCATGATATAGGGATATTTTAAATTTCCTACTTTGAATATAGTGATATCTTGTTGCTAATGTTTTAACACCTAACAAGCAAGCACATAGAGATTCCAGGGGAATGGAGGAAAACCAGTTTGAAAGTTAAATGCTTATTATGCTTGAAAGATTTATTGCTTATTACCTCTCAGGGTAAGCATGGAAGGGAATGAAGTCTTCATTTCCCCTGGAAATATGCAATCTGTGTGTATCTGTTATAACACTAGAAGTAGGACTGGAGTGGTCAATTTGACTGCTGCATTAAAAGTAGTATAAAACTGTTATTCTGTAACATTTTATTTGCTTTTTCCAAGTGTTATTTGGCATGTTAAAATGTTCAAAATTTTGATATTACGTAGGAAGATTAAAAACTGCAGAAGCCCTTAGTTGCCAAACAAGCAAAGTGCATTAAAAGTCAGCAAGCAGTCAAGACGATTTTTTCTCAGTACTTCTAGTGTTAATGTTGCCTCCTCACTAGTGTGAAATATTCTTTCTTCATCTCTTTCTAAGAAAAGAACAGGCCTGAGTTGACAATTGGCAACCGAACTCGTGCCCATTGCCATGGCCAGGTGAATGATCCAAAAAGTTGTGCAAGTGAAAGTGAGATGGGCTTCCATGGAGAGGAACCTGACTTTGAAACCAACCGCATTCAGAATTTATTTGTTATTGCAATACCTGGCATATACAGGAAGGAGAACACCTGAACATGTAGCAGTCCAGTCTGTATATGTTGAGTGCAGGCAAACCTTGGCAGTAATCCCAGATAGCATCTATATCCTAAGTGCTACCAAATTTGAGATCCTTCAGTGACCTGTGAATAAATGGGGGGTTAGTGGTTACTTGGGGTGTCAGGGTGCATTCATGGGTTCAGACCTCTTGCACCTGGGGACTTTAATTGATAGTGTCTCCTTTCTTGATCTTTCAACCATTGCCTCACATCAATACTTGATTTTTGTTCCCTTCCAAGGAAACATCCCCACTCATGAAAGAGAGGGTGTTTTTCCTTGATTTCCACTTAGATACCATGAGCCTACCATACCATAGTGCCATCAGAGCACAGGATGTCATTTTTAGGGTTGGCAAAAAGATCAGGAAAATATCAATATCAAAGACTTGATACCCATCTTGACTTTGATATCTATATCTGTACAATGATCATCACCAGATATGTCAAACTCAAATCAGTTGGCAGGCTGCATTCCTTACCCTACAGATGCCTACAGGCCACACCCATAGGCTGTGTGGAGAGTCCTGAGAGTCAATCCAGGTGAAAATTTTGGGAACAGACAGTGGGCCAGATGAACCATTTCAGTGGGATGGATCTAGCCCATGGAGGTGGTACAACTGGCCAGATCCAGCCATATGCTTGGTACCCCTGATCTAGACCAGTGGTTCTCAACTGGTGGGTCATGACAAGTATCAATAAATATATAAATAACAACAATTAGACAAATAAATATTAAATAGCTTTTAAGTCTGTAGTGGGCCTCAGGATCAAAAGGGTTGAGAACCACTGATTTAGACCTAAGATCAATTTGGTCCAATTGAATTTTATCAAAAAATGCCATTACTTCATATGATTTTTTAATATTGAAATGTCATGCATCCCATGTCACTTTTGATATGAGAAAGTAGGCTTATTCACTATAGGTGCATGCAGACTTTCCATCTGAAGCCCAGAAGATTGAGACCCTTCTCCAAAAAGCAGATGAGCTGCAGGCTGTGCGTGATCGGCTTAGTACAGACATGGCTGATAATGCTGGCATCATTCGGACTCTGGTTATTCGAGCTGAAGATGCTCGCATCCTCAGAGACTGGTCTGTTTTTGTGAAAAAACCATTTGTCCCAAATCATAGGAGTTTTGGCCTCAAAACTAATTTTGACAAAATGGGTATAATTGTAAAGCTCTTGCCTGGAGGAGTCTAAGTCTGTAACTATTATTTAGAGCTAAGGATCAAGGTCAGCAACACAAGATGTTGCTGCTGACATAATGTCCAGATTCACTTCTCAAATTTTCAGGAGCTATTCGAATTCATCTTGCAAAAATCTCCTTGATAAGAAGAGGAATTCCAAACATCTGAAGCAGCAATGCTAAGTTATAAATGGATAGGGGCCTGCCCAAAATGTCAGATGTGACATCCAGAGTAATACATTTGATGTGGAAAATGTATTTAGTAATACTACAAATGAATCAACATGTAGAGGCTGCAGCATTTTGCCTAAGCCTGTCATTGAAAATTCCATAAGTCTTGCATGCTTTCTTTTCCTGAAGGTGTATCTGTGTGCAAAGAAAAGTGCAGTATGTGACATTTCATGGAACCTAAGGTTAAGGTTGCTTGCTCTAGTAGTCACATTTCTGATACTTGGGAATTTAGTAATGTGTTCACTCTGTGTATGAAGTGAGAGCCTGTAAAAAATTGATGTAGATCATCCTGTGACCACAGTACTAGGAAATAAGGGCAAGGCTATTTTGTGATCCTGTTGGATATGACATGTTCTGAAGGTTGATTTGAAAATGTGAAGTCTACAAATTTCTTTGAATGTTCAGCTTAGTATATCATTCGAATGTGAACAATTGACATCTGCTCTTTACACTTGAGCTGTTTTGTTGTCCTAACTCAGCATAGGAGAACCTATGCTGACATCTACTGCAGTGGTTCTGTTCAGTCTCTTCAGGTTTGCCTTTCCATCATATCAATAAGAATCACAGGAGTGGTACTAATACTATAATATAAATACAATTCTTTCCTTATTAAAAATGATATTCTCATTCATTCATGCCATTAGGGACTAGAAATGATTAACTTTTAATGAGAATTTAACCCTTTAATGCATCACCTAGCAGATATGCTACATACCGAATAAACATTTTTAGAATGCATAGGTAGTGAGCTCCTGAGGTAAATTGGTTCTTAGCAGATGTGCAACAGTTTGGTCCTCATACCTAGCAACCATGTGGTTGCTAGGTGTCATACACTTCTGGTGGCAAGCAAATTAAAAACACCTGGCTTCGTCGTGTGACTGATGTTTTTTGGTGCAATTATCTTCAACTCTATGCTTATCCAGCGTTCAGACTCATCTGTATTTTTACATTTTCTTTTGAGGTATGTACAAGTGTTGATGGACTGACTGAGGTCTCTAGTGTCCATGCAGCATGGGTTAGAAAGCTGAAAATGCTGTTTGTAGCAAAGAGCAACAATAACATTTTCCAGTCTATAGACCAGAAATTTACAAATTTGGGAAAACAATTTTTTTTCCCAATTTTCCTGTATTCTAGGACATAAGTAGAACCTACCAGATTTTTTTTGCACAAAGGAAAATTCATGCATTAAAGGGTTAATAATCACAAATTTAGTGAAATTTCATGGTAAGGCTCTTTGGACCACTTGGCACGGACAGATCCATGGGTTATATCCTACTATATTTATCTTGAATGTGCTGTGGTTGAATCTCTCTGGGAAGACATATGCTACTCTGTCTCTATAAGCAATCATCATCATCTAATATATATATAGATGATTGTGACTGACTGACGCTAATTCTAACCATGTTCTAGAAAGGTTAGAAATCTGAATCTTGGTACACAAGTACCTATTGGGATGCAGAGTTCAGAAATATCTGATTTTGGAGGTACATGCCCTGGGGGTACACATTTTGGGGGGGGAAGTTTTTAAATATGTATATTTTGACAGATGAGAATGGCATTGAGAGGCTTGACTGGATGTCCCGGGTTCGGTGGTGTTGTGGTTGCACACCTGACTGGCAATCAGGAGGCCCAGGTTCAATTCCTGGTCATTCCTTGGCTTTCTTTCTCTCATGCCTTCCAAGTCCCGTTACTCATTCCCCCTCCGTAACAATATTTTTGCTTGAGTAAAACGGAGAGACATGGAAAGCTGAAACTTGGCATGGACGTACCTACCAAGATGATGAATTCAGGAAAAATGTAAAATTTAAGATCCATGCCCTGGGAGCATATTTTTGGGGGCCGACGTTTTCAAGTAATTTTTTTTGTCCTGGCATATTGAGCTAGTGTGGAAAGATAAAACTTGGTACATAACTACCTATTGGGATGCTGTGTGCAGAAAATTCAGACGTTGGAAGTAAATTCCCTGGGGGCACAAATTTCAAAGGGTTTTCAAATAATTTTTTTGCATCAGTTAAACTGATGAACATGGAAAGTTGAAACTTTGCATGAATGTGACTACTGAGACAAGGAGTTAAAGACAGTTAAACTGATTAACATGGAAAGTTGAAACTTTGCATGAATGTGACTACTGAGACAAGGAGTTAAAGAAAAATGTTAAGTCTCGATACATCCCCTGGGGGAATTTTTTCGAGGGGCAATGTTTAAAAAAAAAATTTTTTCTCATGGCGAATTGGACAGAAATAGAAAAATGAAATTTGGCACACGTGACATGATATTGATTTGAGGGAGTATTCGGCTTTCATGGCCCTCTGGGCATAGCTTTTGGGTGGGTCGGCTTTTCCAAACATGTTTTTTCACCAGTGAAAAGGGCAAACATATAAGGTTGAAACTTTGTGGGCATGTAGTTATCTGAGGATTGATTTCGGTGAAAAAAATATAAAAACATTAAAAAGGTACTTTTCGGTTAAAATGCCTCAGGGCACGTATATTGCAAAAGGTGTATTTTCTTGAATTTTCTGATCCAGCAAAACAGTGGGTGCTAGAAAGTTTAAACTTGGCAAAGAAGAACCTGATGGATAGCTGAGTAAAGAAAAAATTCTACTTTTATTATATATAGACGATCGTGAGTAGCTGACTGATTGACATAAGTAGCTATTCACATGCCGAGTTCAGGAAAAATTCTACCTTTGTGATACATGCCGTGGGGGCACACCTTTTTGGGGAACATATTTTCAAATAGTTCTCTTTGCTTCAATCAAATGGAGACACATGGAAAGCTGAAACTTGGCAAGAACGTGACTGCTAATGCACTGAGCTCAGGAAAAATGTCAAATTTCCAAAATATTTTGGGGGGGCATATTTCTTGGGGACGTTACGTTCTCAAGGAATTTTTCATATCCTAGCGTATCGGGCAGAAAAAGAAAAGTATCAGTTGGTGCATGCATAACGGATGTGATGGGAAATTAAGGAAAAATTCAACTTTTGTTGTGTCTCCTCAGAGCACAGCTTTTGGATGGGTCGCTTTTCCAAATACATTTTTTACCGCCAGCAAAAAGGGGAAACATATAAGGCTGAAACTGAGTGGCATGGAGTTCCCTGAGTCTACATTTCAGAAGAAAAAAAAATTTTGTTAAAACCCATCAGGGCACTTTTTTTGTAGGTACCATTTTCCTGAATTTTTTTTGATCCAACAAAACAGAGACAGAAAATTTAAACTTCCCTTGGAAGTACCTATTTGATGGCTGAGTACAGGAAAAATCCTACTTTTGAAATATGTCCCCTTAGTGTAGGTTATAGGAGGGAAGTATTTCAAAATGTATTCTCCACCCTTACAAAAAGGGACACATGAAAAGATTTCAAGTTAGGCACACTAGAAATCATAGAAGTAATGATTTTGATGAAAAAATCAAGACTTTTGTCCCCATATGTCATGTATTTCAACAGGGACGTACTTTAAATACGTGTTTGCCATTTCGCAAAGAATAAATGAATCTATCACTATCCAAGGTAATGGAGCATCGAAGGTGCAAAGGTCCCCTATCCCCCTAGTTTTAAATAGGATTAATTCTGCCTTTCTGTGCACCAGTGAAATCTGGCAAACAGTGGTTGCATCTAGTCATGCTTGAATCAGTCAACAATGATGATCTTTCAGAATGCACAGTTGGGAATGTCTTGTTGCACAATCATACTTCTCTACAGAAGATTAAAGCAGTTTTTTTTTAGTATCTTTACTACAATGAGATTTAGGACTTCCTGCATTCTTACTTCCATGAGTGCAAAGTACCTCTCTTCAATCTGTTTCCCTGAAAGGCTGGGTTTTTGCTTCAGAACATTAGCTCCATTTCCCAAACATGCAATTCACAGAACTCACCATAAATAGTTGATAATGCTGCAGAAATGCCACCAAGTCTGTAGTAGATATGCTGTACATTTACAATAATTTTTGGTAGGGTGAGGTGGGGCAAAAGTAACCTGAAAAACACATAATTGTACTTTGCAGGATGATATAAAAAAAATACTAGCAAAAGCATTGCCACAAAAATTGATTTCTGCCCTCTTCAAACAGTGAACAAGAGATTCAAATGACTTTCAGAACTTAAATCTGAATTGGATCCTTAGGAAATCTCTTTTTAAAAGCGCATTTTCATGTTACTTTTGCCCCACGAAATGGGGTAAAAGTAACATACCATGGGGCAAAAGTAACAATGCTGTACAAGTGCTGTTTGATAGCACTGAGAAGCAAAAGGCGGGACTGTAAATGTACTCCACATTATGTGGATGATTTGAGGAAATTTTCAGCAAAAATGGGCTAATAATGAAGCAACAATAGCTTATAATACTGAAGCAGGTGAAAACATTATCTGCTGAATTTTAAGCTTGCAGGAATTCTCTTTCTATGGGAATAAAAAAAAGAAAGTAAAAATCCTCTCATCCACCTATCTTGTACTAATTTCTTTGTTTTTCCTTTTTTTCTNGTTCTAGAAGGGTTAGAAATCTGGAACTTGGTACATATGTACCTTTTGGGATGTAGAGTTCAGAAAAAATCCGACTTTGGAGGTACATGCCCTGGGGGTACACATTCTGGGGGGAAAGGTTTTGCTGAAATATATATTGTGACAGATGAAGATGGCATTCAGGGATTCATCTGGATGTGCAGGGTTCAATGGTGTA